TTTTGATTCAAAGCGTACCAAGCCTCATGAGCCACGTTCTGATCAACACTAGGATGTGGTTATTTTCTTTTGAGATGTGCTCCTTATCCAAGAAATGGTCGGTCTTGCGTTTTTCAACATGATTTTTTGAAGAATCCTGTCATCACCACTGATAAATCGAAGTCAGTATAGGCATCGATGTCTTCCCCGACTTTATATGCATGTCTTTTTTTTCATTAATTGGTCTACTGGCTTTTATTGACATCATATTATCACAGAGTAATTTACTCTGTGATATTATTAGCAAGATATATTTTCAAAAGATGACGTTATGGCAATTCATAAATATATTCATAATTTAATGTGTTTTAGGGTTAAAATCTTTTGAAATTCTAATTGTGTTGCATGTAATTTGACTGACAAGCAAGCTCTCCTGTCTGTCAATTTCACAGCCCATCAGTCAAGACCGGGCAAATATGACTGAATTGACAAGAACTCTAAGAAGATCTTAAACATGATGCTCATCCTACTGTACATGTAAATTGTTTGTGTAATATGTTATAATTTTTGTAATTTACATGTAATATATTTTGTTCTTGATTAATTTGGATTAGCATTATTGTTTTACAAACTAGTTCATGCAATGTACAATAATACTCACATATAAAACATTTACATAAATACTATTTTTGTATAGTTTTTACAGAGAGATAACTTATATCTACAAAATTTTTTATAGGAGTATACTATAAACTGAAAATTATTTCTTTTGTTGTTATCGCAGACTTATAACCATCTCTACTTTTCAAGTAAGTAATGTGACAGGTGTTGTGCATGAGACAGAGTGTGCTTACATTTCTTAAACACCTTATACATAACATGCACCACTTATCATTCAACAAATATGTATAGTTGACAGTTTTGTATTCCTTCTTGCATTAATTTTAAACTCGTGCTACGCAGGGCCGGGCGAGGACCAGTGTGTAGTCATTCAGGTAGTATGAAAAATCGTGGTGCTGTGTATGTACACAATGGCAGTTAGAATATGATAGTGCCGCTGTCCACACAAAATTTTCCTCTTGCCACCCTGTGTGGCTTATGCCCATCTTCACTGGCCTGGTTGGTGCAGAAAAGTAGGACATGAAACACCGGTTTCATTTTATACTTCTTCCATTGATGCCTTATTGATGAAATGTGTTCAGCCATCCTCAGGGAGCATTTGTTACCATTTTGATATCTTTAGCCTAGTGTATTAATTTTTTCAATTGTCTGACTAGTAATTTGTTTATGCACAGAAGTGTTTTTTGGGAAGGAGTTTCCGGCCGGTAAGGAGGTTGGAAATTGTCAACTATCGATCAGGTTGTAAGGCAGAAGGGTTAAATTTAATAATTAGGGGTAGGTAATCTTAAAACAGAGATTCCAATCATAACCCAGAAATTTCAATATTCGTATGAAATTTAACTCCCCAACTGGTTTGAGAACAGCCTCCACATTTTTACACGATACTCAGGGAACATTTGTTAGTGTTTTGACTAAGACATCAATTTATTTGCCTTAATATACATTTAAGTATCAATATTCTTTCAAATCAAAAAACTAAAACTACATGTACATTTAAATTTAGAAATAAAGAATTGGCATGTCATATTCTAAATCAAGAGCTAAAACTATATTTAAATTTAGAAATAAAGAATTGGCATGTCATATTATTCTAAATCAAGAGCTAAAACTATACAAAATTTAGAAATAAAGAATTGGCACAACATATTATTTTAGATAAACGAAAATTATATTTAAATTTAGAATTAAGAGCTTTGACATATATTTTTTGAAACTTTGATTATTCTTTGAAGTTACTTATGAATAGTAAATTACTGTATATAAAGGTTAGTGTATTGTTTGTTTAATTAATGCAGTTTTCCTGTATTATATCAGTATAAAGATGTATTATGTAATAATTAGATTAAATCGCTGTGTCATGTGAATAAATGGCTAACAAATAATATATGTTAACATTTGAGGCCAAAAAAAAAAGACCTGCAATAGACAGATTTAGTTTTTACATAATGCATCTTTAAGCTGTATTATTTTAATGTTTTTTATTGTTCAGTGTTAATATAAAGCACTAGTTCATTGCTCTGAGTGTTGTTTGTCTGCGATATCACTTCTGTGGAAGCGGACGTTAAAATAACAGGTAGTAGTAGTAGTAGTAGTAGTACGAGTGGTGTAATTGATTTATTTAACATCAGCTTCCACTGACTTGATGACCAACAATTCTAGTCTCATTTCTCCTTGATGTACAAGAGAAACCATTCTATTAAAGCGGCATTTTGTAAGGTTAGATAAAGAACTGACAGTTCTCGCTATAATAGTTAAAAATTGATAATGAAAACAGAATATGCTGAAAATTTCAGTCAAATTGCTTCACTCCGAACCAAAGTATTATCAATGCAATGTTAGGCCAGTCTCGAACGTTATTATTAACCTTGGTGCAATAATAAACCAAGTCTCAATTATCCATTTTTACATTAGATTACATTAGATTATCCATCACAAAATGTTTTCAAATCCACTTAATATCGCAGACTAGCGATACCATAAAGACTTGATTATGGTCTAGATAAGTTAATTTATGTCTAATTAAAAAATTAGATAACATTTCAGACCTAAAGAAAGACCTACAATAGGCAGATTTAGCTCTTGCATAATGTATGTTTAAGATTGAGCTCAATTCAGTTTTAGTGTATGAAATAGGTTTATTTAATGTTCGGTTTCACCGTGGTGATATCGCCAACTATATAAGTATTAGTGCTAAATTTTCATAATAGATAAGTATTTAGAGCTAAATATTCATAGAGATAAGAGCCCTTTAGTCTAATACAGTGGTTCTCAACCTTTTTTGCCAACGGCACACCTTGGAACAGATAAAAAAAAATAGCGGCACACCTGGCGAAATATATATGAAAAATATTTGAATTTTGCAAAATATATAAACATGGTAAGTCAAACGGCATACAATCATAATTTCACTGGGTCAATTATATATTTGAATTGAAAACTATGTATATTATGGGATTGATAAGTGAATTTTTTGGTTTCACTCAGTTTATGTTGTTTACAATCTGAATAAAATACAGATCTTTATTTCGTTTTGGTTTTTTTATATTTTTGATGGCCTTCACTTCATGAAGATCTGACTTGTTGTCGTGGGAGGTCGCGTCAGGGGGGTTCATATGACATTAGACATTTATCAGCATTGATGTTTCAAGTGGGTTTCTAGAAATACAACTTTTGCTTGGTCTTCGCTGCGAATGTCTACCCAGTTACGTGCACCACACACCAAGAACTCGCCACAACAGACCGTTCCATTGGCTAATCCCTCACATCAAGTAAAACAAAATTTTAAACTTCAAAAACGTAATGAAATAGGATCTGTGTTTTGGGTTGTTTACAAATTTGAAAGTTATTTATGTTATGTTTCCTTTTCTTTTCTGATTTTGGTATTTCATTTATATGTTAATTTCTAAATAAAATATATTTTTAATGGTTGTATTTCATAATGTAATTCATTTTTGGTATTTCATTTATATGTTGATTTCAAAATAAAATATATTTTTAATGGTTGTATTTGATAATGAAATTCATTTTTCCATCAAAATAAAATATATTTTTAATGGTTGTATTTCATAATGTAATTCATTTTTGGTATTTCATTTATATGTTGATTTCAAAATAAAAAATATTTTTAATGGTTGTATTTGATAATGAAATTCATTTTTCCATCTTTTTCTCGGTTACTTGATTGCAGCTTCTTGGTAAAATAACCATTTATTTCTTGAATAAGATCTCCTTTTCAAAACTTACTACATAAGAGTGGAAGACATGTTTTATTAACAGAAATGGCTAAACTTGCTTTTCTTGATCATATCAAGATTGACATTTCTTGCAAGTAGCTTTTCCAGGTTCTGTGAATACATATTGCTAATAAAAAATTTTGTTGTTGTTCCAAAATAGATCCCTTGGCAGTTGGAATTTGATATAAGTGTAATCCTTAGCGCTGCTGTCCAGGCAAAATTTCTCTCAAAGCACACTGAATGGCGTATGCCCGTCTTCATTGGCCAAGTTAGAGTAGAACAGTTGGACGTTAAACCCCATTTCATTTCCACCACTTGTCTCATTTTATTTGGGCGGTCACAGTGGGTAACACGCTGGCTCGCTAGCCTGAAGGCTGGGTGTTTGATCCCTTCATTGGCCGAGAAAGACAGCTGTCTAGTCGTTCAAATGGGACGAAAAACTGAGGCCCATGTACACATTTGTGTGCACGTAAAAGATCCCTTGACAGTTGGAATTTGATACAAGAGTAGGCCGTAGTGCCTCTGTACGGGCATAATTTCTGTCATACCACACTGTATGGCGTATTCCTGTCTGCATTAGCCCAGTACGGAGCAGAACAGTAGGACGTTCAACCCCATTTCATTTTCATTTCTAACTTTATATGCTTAGCGTATGTGCAAGGGTTTTTCCTGTGTGAGGAAACTGGAGTACCTCGAGTAACCAAGATTGAGAAGGCGCCTATATCTCCAAGCCACATACACTGACACCAGGGATTGGAGCTACAACCACAAGCCAGAGATGATCGGCCAGCTCAAGCTCAAAGCTTGACACTCTAGACCACTAGGCCACCCCCATCCCCCCCTCCACCCCCCCCTCCAGTTGATTGCCGATTTACAACTCGAGTTCAAAATGTGGTGTGAAAACTAAAGTATATGAAAGTCTTTCACGTCATCAGTTTCATTTAGATAAGAACAACGGCGTATTATAAATATTTTTTACCATTTTGGGCAATGAGAATAATATAAATCCAGGACGTAACTAGGTCAGAGCAACGAGGGGGGCAGGAAGTGTTCTCAGGGGTGCTGTAAAATGGACAACAATGTATATCTATTTTTTTTTATGGTCAAAAATTTTGTCACGGGGGTGGGGTGGGGGGGGTGATACTTTTTGCAGGGGGCCTGTATAAATCGATGTTGGTTCTAAAATATTGTAAAATATTAACTTCTCTTTATTACTGAGCAACTCTTTGACTAGGCTTCTCTAGACTTCATCAAGTACATTACCATTACTGTTTGTTATGGGGGGGTTGGATGGCCGAATGGTTAGCGTGCACGCTGTATCATAAAGTCTGTCATTGAGTCGACTGGCGTGGTTTCGAATCCCCGGTTGTACGTGACAAGGAGTAGGGTCGTCTGTCCATCCTTTGTGGGTTTTCTCCGGATCCTCCGGTTTCCTCCCACTGCTAAAGACCCCTATGCACAAGCGAATTATTGAAATAAAATTAAACCATATGTTAGTCCCGAAATGACCTAGTTTGTGTCGAGTGGACGTTAAACCCCATTTCTCTCTCTCTATCTCTGTTATGGAATGTTTCGACTAGGCTCTTCTAGACTTCATCAAGCAATGTAATTGTATTCCCTAAAATTGTGATCTGTGACTCAGTAAGACAGGCTTGCTCGCTTGGAGGTCCTGTGTTCGAACCTTGTGTTGACTAAGAAAGTTCATCAGGATTTTACCGGGGTGGTTCCCCCTTGTCAGTGATGCAAGATGGAGGGCCTGGCAAGGGACAACATATACGGTAGTCATTCGGATGGGATAAAAAAACGATGTTCTGTCGAGTACACGTTGGCCTGCACATAAAAGGTCCCTTGATATGTGAGTAGGCCGTAATGCCTCTATCCATTCAAAATTTCCCTCATAGCGCAAGAGAGAGAGAAATGGGGTTTAACATCCACTCAGCACACACTAGGTCAATTTAGATCTAACATAGGTTCAATTTTATTTCTATAATTCCCTTGCAAGAAGGGGTCTTTAGCAGTGGGAGGATACAAAGAAAACCCACCAGGCTGAACAGGCGACCTTACTCCTTGTTACATATAAGCGGGGAATCGATCGAAACCACTCTACTTAACTCAATGACCTGATGCAACATGCCCAGGTTAATCATTTGGCCACCCTACCCTCATAGCACACTGTATTGAATGATAATAACAATGCAGGGGAGATAACTATAGAGACATGCAAAAATATTTCCAAGTTTTTGAGGGAGGATATTTCTCTGTGATCAACAGCCACCATCTCGGGCAGTAATCATAGATAACAGGTTTTAAAAACATTTTTGTTTAGGAGATCAACACGTTCCTGTTTCGTATTTAGAAATGAAATGAAATGGGGTTTAATGTCCTACTCCGAACTGGGCTAATGAAGGCGGGCATACGCCATACAGTGTGCTATGAGGGAAACTTGTTTGAAAACGCCTGCTTAAATAACGATACAAGTTATGCCCCTTTATTTTCAGAAAAAATGTCTGACAAGAAAAATTTGAAATCCCATCACTGGACTAGACAGCTGTCCTTGTCAGGCCCTCCATTCTGCATCACTGACAAGGGGGAACCACGCCGGAAAATCTGGATGAACTTTCTCGGCCAATGCAGGGGTCGAACACCCGACCTCCAGGCTAGCGAGCCAGCGTCTCACCCACTTAGGCACTGTGACCCCCTGTTTCGTATTTAGAGGGGTGTAAAATGCAAAAGACGTCTTGAGGTAATTAGGACAAAAGACGTGTTACACCATTCAGGACCAAACACAGAGAGAGAGAAATTGGGTTTAACATCCACTCAACACAAATTATGTCATTTTGGGACTAAAATATGGTTAATTTTATTTTTATAAGCAGCTTTAGTAGTGCGGGGAAACAGGAGGACCTGGAGAAAATCTACGAGGTTGGAGCACCAAAAAAGTAACACTTCATTAAAACACTAATTTCTAGTATGTTAAAACCAAGAAATACAATATGTTCAACTAATCAAATTAAATCCCGACGGCCATAAGGGTCCAGTAGAACATACAGGATTTTTCATAATAAAATTAGCTCTGCTTGACAACAGACACTAAGCTAGTTGGCTGACAATTTAAATCCTAAATTAACGATTTTAGTAAAAAAAACAACAAGTATATTTCAAAAATTTTGAGAAGTATATATTCTGCTTTCATTAAATAAAATTGACCAGCGGCTGCCAGGCAGGATACGCCCACATTTTCGAGAGATGGATAGAGAACAAGCTAAAAAGAATGTGATTTTTCCTACAATCAAGGGCCATAATTCAGGAAATTACAATTCGATATGCGCAAATATCGAAAGGAACCGAGATCTTTGTGTTATAAACTTACGTTTCAACAAAATCAGATTAAAATTGTGACCTCTATAGGATCCACAGCCTTGATATACCATATTTTACGCTATTTGAGAACAAAGGGCGGCCATTTGGTCTGTCAGTTTTGGGTCGATTTTCTTGAAATTTGAACTCAAATATCGAAAGGAACCGAGATCTTTGGGTTATAAACTTACATTTCAAGTTTCAACAAAATCGGATAAAAATTGTGACCTTTATAAGGTCCACAACCTTGATATACCATATTTTTACGTGATATAATAAAACGTTTTTTTAAATCGGATAAAAATTAAGACCTCTATAGGGTCCACAAGCTAAAAATGCGATTTTTCGTACAATCAGGGGCCATAATTCAGGAAGTTACGGTCCGATATGCGCAAATATCGAAAGGAACCTAGATCTTTGAGTTATAAACTTACATTTCAAGTTTCAACAAAATCGGATAAAAGTTGTGACCTCTATAGGGTCCACAATACAAGTTTCGATCCAATACATGACAATATCGAAACCAGCCGAGATCTTTTGGGGATTAACCTATATTTCAAGTTTCGTCAAAATCGGATAAGAATTGTGACCTGTAGAGAGTCCACAAACAATTGTGGACGGACGGACGTCCGGACGGACAGGGGCGACGGCATAATACGTCCACATGAAAATGTGGGCGTATAAAAAAGTTTAATTAATCTTTTTGTGTATAATAGATTTGAACCAGAGTAAACAGTATACTAATTGTTGGATATGGTGGCCATTTAGGGCAGAGATCTATTCTCGAAGTAGAGCAGATAGTTCTCTGTGTGCAGAATGGGGTTCTTTAAAGCGCTGGGAGACACCCTGCAGACCATTAGAATTTAGGCACATTCAACCCTGGGGTCGAAACCACACCATTTACATCAATGATCAAAAAACAACACATTGAACCTCTCAGCTATCAAACCTGGGGGTCGAAAACACACCATTTGCATCAATGATCAAAAAACAACAGATGGAACCTCTCTCAACTATCAAAACTGGGGTCAAAATCACACCATTTGAATCAATGATAAAAAAACCCCAACACTCCGCCATCAAACCGAACAGAGTATAAATATTCTTTATATATCCTTTATATGTGAATAGTTTTAGTAAAGAAGCATCTTATTGGACTTTTTCAGTGTAGCATGATCATAAATATCAATTATATATCTTTGTTCACAGTTTTGTTTTCTGAATTGTATGGTCTGTACTGTCTATGTACTGTATTTACAGTCATCTCTCATCTAAGGTATCACAGCAAGAATTTTCATAGCTCAAAGTAGGTAAGTCTTTAACTCAGTATCATCCACAACATATTGGTCAATTTAAATCAACACTGATGTTGTTATCTTACCGTGAAAAGATGGGCTTCCGGTATCCAATATTTAAGACACAGTGAAAATGTTAAACTTGCCACACGATTTGCGTGCCAGACAGCGTTTGAATGCCATTTGTAATGAACCGACTGGATGAACGACGCTAAACATATCCCACAAGGGATGACTACTGAATGGCTAGATGCCAAAGACCACCGAACATAACTGATTCGAAATTACAGTAAAAACAGAAATGATAGAATGTAAATTAGTTTATATACATTCATATTACATTATTATATGCGTTGCGACCCATTTGTGTCCAGTTCTAGGTGCCAAAGAATAGTGATGTAGCTTCTTTAAATTCACCGATTGTTATTTGCTTATTTCAGATAATTTACATGGTTAACAGATGTTTGTATTTTTAAACAGCCACTCATAAAAGATTTATATTAAACATATATTATACAAGAGCTAAATCTGTCTATTGCAGGTCTTTTTTTAGGCCTGAAATGTTATCTAAATTATTAATTAGACATTAATTAACCTATCCAGACCATAATCAACTCTAGATGTCATTGCTAGCCTGCGATATTTAGTGGATTGTGAGACGATTTACTGCATAACTTTCCTTCACGATTTAACTATGCTGTTTATCGTACTGACTTTAGTAATGATGATCAAGGCTAGACGGAACTTAAATCACTTTGTTCTTGGTTCATAGTGGACAATTTGAATGAAATTTTCAGCAAATTGCCTTTACGTTATCTAGTTTTTAACTATTATAGTGAGAACTGCCAACTCGTTATCGAATCTTTAATCAATTTTGATTCTAAATTGAATTGAATTTAATTCTGTCATGTTTGTGTTATGTTGTCATTCAACCACTGTGCTGCTGGGTTCTGTAACACTTGGTACCACTTTTCTTTTGAGGAGTTCATATAGTTAACAATTTTTCTAGTCTTTCTGCCTTTACCTGTAGCTTCTGTAACACCCGGTACCCACTTTTCTTCTGAGGAGTTCAGATTGTTAACAAGTTTTTTGGTTATTTTGTCTTTCAATCCCTGGTGGCTGTGACTGGTTTCTAGAACACATGGTATCATTTATTAATTCAGGAGTTCACGAAGCTCTCAAGTTTGGTTTTTCGATTATAACCTAATCCTGAATCTTCATTAACCCTTGTGGGAAAGGCGATTGGAAGGAGTAGGGCATTTTACGGTATATAAATGTAACTTTTTTGTTTTCAAGATAATACACAACTTGAAGTTGAACGGCTTATTTCTATCTGTGGGGATTCTTCCTGTCGTTTGCAGAGATGTTTTTTTTTAATACACTTGACTTTATTTTCAAGCATATTTTTAATATTATACGGTAAACTGTCCCAATCATTTTGAGTCCTTTCTCTCAAATTAAACACAACATCAAAACAGATTCTGAAATGAAATGAAATGAAATGAAATGGAGTTTAACGTCCTACTCTTCTGCTCCTAAGCTGGGCTAATGAAGACGGGCATACGCCATACAGTGTGCTATGAGGGAAATTTTGCCCGGACAGCAGCACTACGGCCTACTCTTATATGGAATTCCAACTGCCAAGGGATCTTTTACGTGCACGTCAATGTGTACACGGGACCTCGGTTTTTCGTCCCATCCGAACGACTAGACAGCTTTCCTTGTCAGGCCCTTCGTCCTGCATCACTGACAAGGGGAAACCACGCCAGAAAATCTGGATGAACTTTCTCGGCCAATGCAGGGATCGAACACCCGACCTCCAGGCTAGCGAGCAAACAGATTCTGAAATATGAAAATAACCTAAATATTATCATCAGATAGGTGTTAAAAGATTCTTCAGAGTTTCCAGGCTGTGGCTAACTAACTAGGAAAAAGAGAAATGGTGTTTAACGTCCACTTGATACATACTACTAGGTCATATCGGGACTAACAACACATGGTTCAATTTTATTTCAATAATTCATTTGCGCATAGTGGTCTTTAGCAATGGGAGGAAACCGGAGGACCTGGAGAAAAACCACTTGGTTGGACAGGCGACCCTACTCCTTGTCACTTGACTCGATGACCTTGTGATTTCATGTGTACGGGAGAGAGAGAGAGAAATGGGGTTTAACGTCCACTCGACACAAACTAGGTCATTTCGGGTCTAACATATGGTTTTTAATTTTATTTACATAATTCGCTTGCGCGTAGGGGTTATTAGCAGTGGGAGGAAACCGCAGGTCCCGGAGAAAACCCACGAGAGGATATGTCAGAATGCACCAAAATGTTTTCTATTTTGCAAAATTTTTCGAACTCCGGTGGCCGGGGGCAGAGACACCCCCCCCCCCCCCGCCACATAAAAGGGCCCTCAAAATAGTATAGCCTCCGCCATGATAAACCTTAAAACGCCCCTGTATTAACATTTTTGTTACTAGTCAATCCAACTTCCTCGTGGTGATAATAATTACTTACCTTTGAAGACATTTAGGGCTAAGTCGAAACAAAATTACTTCATTGGTATGAATCTACAAAAAATAAACGCTATTAGTTATTTGAACGCCAAGGTGTACTATAATTACAAGGGGGAATCTAGCTTTAAACTAGTATCTGGATTTTCCAGCATGGTTCCCCCATTGTCAGTGGTGCAGGATAAGGTCCTGGCAACGCACAATGTATAGTCATTCAGATAGGACAAAAAACTGAGGTCCCATGTTCGACCCCTGCATTGACAAAAAAAAGTTCAACTGGATTTTCCAGCATGGTTCCCCATTGTCAGTGATGCAAGACAGTTCCTGGCACGCCACAACGTATAATCGACCAAAAAGGACAAAAAAATGAGGTCCTGTGTACACATTGGAGTGAAAGTATAAGATCCCTTGGCACAAATTTGCTTTTATTTGGGGTTTCAAATTCTTAAAATCTTTTTGGTAAGGCTAGGATCTGGCACCCACCTAGCACACACTAACCCTCCACCTCCAGCTCACCCACTCCCATCAACCAATTGTAGCTCTCTGGATATTTCTCTATGAGATATTACCTGATCAAAACAAGTAGTGTTGTTAGATAGCCTGATAATTGGATGGATTATCATAATGAACCTCAACCGATACACACTGGATAGTAACTAAATCAACTATAGAATGCCAAAAATCAAGAGAAAATGAAAAACTTACTACAGGACACCGAAAATCAAAGTAAAATGAAAAACTTACAGATGGTAGCCGTTGATCTAATATATTGTTTGTACAGCCACCAAATATAACAATATCTTGTTGACTACTTAAACAAGCTGTGTGCCATAATCTAGGTCTAGTGTCAGGTACATCTAGTTGTGTCCACTGTAACGTACTGACATCAAGTACCCATGCATCACCTATACAAAACATACAAATAAACATACATTCCTATGACATACAATGTATTCTATTTTTGACAAGTTTTGAATGACAGGGGACATAACTCTGTGTAATAAATTCACAACTCATAGGGGGTGCTCGATTGTCAGTTCGGAACATTCCGAATTCATGGAATTGCAATCAAGTGACGCGAAATTCAGTCCTGTCACAGTTCTGTCAGTCCCAACAATGGAGGTGGTGTCCGTAGAATCATGACGTAATTAACCCTAAAGAATATGTTTCAGCTGTCATGGTTGGTTGAGATATTTTTCTCATGCTGTCAGCGCATGCGTTCTGGCCCCATATCCCATTTTCACTCGATTGTCACTATTTTTGGGTTCGACAGAATTCAATTCTGGAACGTTCAATCGATCATTCCCATTAGTTCAGCTTAATAGTTAGTGCATTTACAATAACAGGGGGGAGGACAATACATTCCCAAATCGTGGACTGAGTAATGGCAATGTACTCTCCCACAGAAAAGTTCTCTTCTACATGCAGGCAAAAATAAAATCGAGGACTGGAGTGAAAAAAAATGTACTCTCCCACAAATAATATTTCTCTCGCAAATGAGGGTGCATAAATAAAGTGCTTATGAAAATAAATTAATTGCCTACAGTGATGAAGTTCACTCAACATAAACTAGGTCATTTCAGGACTAACACATGGTTCAATTTTATGTCAATAATTCACTTGCGCGTAGGTTTTTTTAGCAGTGGCAGGAAATCAGAGGACCCGGAGAAAACCCACGAGGTTGGACAGACAAACCTACTTTTTGTCACATACAACCAGGGAGTCGTAACCACGGCAGTTGACTCAATGACAGACCTTATGATACAGCACGCATGTGCCAGCCATTCGGCCATCCAACCCCCTGACAATGTGAATCTATAACATGTTTATGCAAATGAAACATATTGTTGTAAATTTCTAATTAGTTCAAGCAATGAACTGGCCATTGGTCACAAATAGTTGTCCTTTCAACTACAGACATAATAGTTTATACCATATACTCTACTCACGACAATAACTGTATAAAGTATTCCGAATCTAAATACTTAGAACTTTTAAAAACCCCAATACATTTGCAATTGCATTCTTGTATTCATACATCAACATTAATAGTGAAATTAATAGTAAAATTTCAGCCACTTGAATATTCTACTTGTGTCCTAACTACTTACTTAGTGGTTGGTTATCCTGTGTGTATCCACCATATAGAAACATATATTTATTAGAGGCAGCAGTAAGGGTGTGCCATGATCTACCACATGGTACATTACTTCCTACTGTTAATCTGAAATAATAAATAATATTTACACGATACTGAAACAAGCCAATGTAAATGACTTATATAAATTGGCTTCCTAAAAGCAAGATACATAAGTTTACAGAAAAATATAATCAAGAAAGAGTTGTAGCATTTAACATGTAATAATAATATTTAGTGTTAACATGGAATTTAATCATTTAACATGTAATAATAATATTTAGTGTTAACATGTAATTTAATCATTTACAGGCAAAATAATAATATTGTAATAGTATATTTAGTGTTACTATGTAAAGTAATCATTTACAGGTAATGTAATCATGCAATTATATTTACAGCATTAATTGCAATGTAATCATGTAATATTTACAGTGTTCACATGAAATGTAATCATGTAATAATGTTTATAGTGTGCACATGTAATAATATTTAGATTGTTAACATGTAATGTAATCATGTAATTATGTTTACAGTGTTCACATGCAATGTAATCATGTAATAACATTTACAGGGTTAACATGTTATAACATATAAAAGGTTAAAATGTTGGCATGTAATCACATAATAATATATACAGTGTTGACATTTAATCATGTAATAATATTATCATGTAGTAATATTTACAGTGTTAATATATTATCATGTAGTGATATTTACAGTGTTAAAATGTTATCATGTAGTAATATTTACAGTGATAATGTACTCATGAAATAATATTTATAATGTAGTAATATTTACAGTGTTAATATATTATCATGTAGTGATATTTACAGTGTTAAAATGTTATCATGTAGTAATATTTACAGTGATAATGTACTCATGAAATAATATTTATAATATACAGGTCACAATTCTATGGAATACAATTACTGCTTTTTACTGAGCGACGTTTCGACTAGGCTTCTCTAGTCATTATCAAGCTATGATCGTATCTGATCAATGAGTTTGACTGCCACATCTCCATACTGATGTCTGATAAACTGTTTCAATGGCATTTAGTAATTGAACTAGAGTATACAGGTCACAATTCTATGGAATACAATTACTGCTTTTTACTGAGCGACGTTTCGACTAGGCTTCTCTAGTCATTATCAAGCTATGATCGTATCTGATCAATGAGTTTGACTGCCACATCTCCATACTGATGTCTGATAAACTGTTTCAATGGCATTTAGTAATTGAACTAGAGTATACAGGTCACAATTCTATGGAATACAATTACTGCTTTTTACTGAGCGACGTTTCGACTAGGCTTCTCTAGTCATTATCAAGCTATGATCGTATCTGATCAATGAGTTTGACTGCCACATCTCCATACTGATGTCTGATAAACTGTTTGGAGATGTGGCAGTCAAACTCATTGATCAGATACGATCATAGCTTGATAATGACTAGAGAAGCCTAGTCGAAACGTCGCTCAGTAAAAAGCAGTAATTGTATTCCATAGAATTGTGACCTGTATACTCTAGTTCAATTACTAAATGCCATTGAAACAGTTTATCAGACATCAGTATGGAGATGTGGCAGTCAAACTCATTGATCAGATACGATCATAGCTTGATAATGACTAGAGAAGCCTAGTCGAAACGTCGCTCAGTAAAAAGCAGTAATTGTATTCCATAGAATTGTGACCTGTATACTCTAGTTCAATTACTAAATGCCATTGAAACAGTTTATCAGACATCAGTATGGAGATGTGGCAGTCAAACTCATTGATCAGATACGATCATAGCTTGATAATGACTAGAGAAGCCTAGTCGAAACGTCGCTCAGTAAAAAGCAGTAATTGTATTCCATAGAATTGTGACCTGTATACTCTAGTTCAATTACTAAATGCCATTGAAACAGAATATTTATAATGTAGTAATATTTACAGTGTTAATGTAATCATGTAATAATATTTATGTTTTGACATGTAATTATGTAATAATATTTACAGTGTTAACATGCTATGTAATCATGTAATAATATTTAAGGTGTTTTAGCATGTAATCGTGTAATAATATTTATAGTATTAACACATAATAATATAGTAATGAAATGTAGAACCAATATTCGGGAGATTTCCAATCAGTCGACATTTGTCAAAATATTTGTGTATTTGCGTGATCAATTCAACTTACTCTCCACTCCATGTTAAAGTAGATAAATTTAAACAGTGTAAATCATTTAATCTATCTAGAAGAAATCTTCCCCCAAATATATAAACATTATCACCAAGTCTTGCTGAGGCATGGGCAGCTCTTGGGTAAGGGGTTACTCCCTGTAAATATACAACAAAAAAATACAATCCAAATTAAAGTCAAATTCTAACTGTTGCAGAATCTTCATATTATAATGATTACCTAGTGTTGAAAGTGATAGCAGTGGGGCTTAATGTCCACTCGACACAAACTTTCATTTTGGAACTAACAAATGGTATAATTTTAATTCAATAATTCACTTGCGTGTAGGGATTCTTAGCAGTGGGAAGAAACCAGATGAACCGGAGAAAACACCTGTAGACGAAATGAAATGAAACAGGGTTTAACATCCTAATGTTCTGCTCTGACTGACCTTATAGACAATATTGTCTGAAAAATGCACGGACAACAACTTAACAATGATAAACTTACCTTGCATTTAGGATTTGACCATATTTCATCAACAACATCAAAAACTAACAACTGATTATTCCAACCTCTGTTTCTTATATATGACTGCAGTAGAAAACAAAAATATATTCACACCTTGTCTTATATTAAAACATAAAATTACAGGGCTTTATGTAGGGATGTATTTAGCTCTTTAATTAGAGACCCTAAGCACTGAATAGAGAGAGAGAGAGAAATGTGGTTTAATGTCCAACTGATACAAACTAGGTCATTTTGGGACTAACATTGTTCAGTTTTACTTCAATAATTCACTTGCGTGTAGTGGTCTTTAGCTGTGAGAGGAGAGAGAGAGAGAGAAATGGGGTTTAACGTCCACTCAACACAAACTAGGTCACTTCGGGACTAACACATGGTTTAATTTTATTTCAATAATTCGCTTGCGCGTAGGGTTCTTTAGCAGTGGGAGGAAACCGGAGGACCCGGAGAAAACCCACGAGGTTGGACAGGCGACCCTACTCCTTGCCACGTACAACCGGGGATTCGAAACCACGCCAGTTGACTCAATGACAGACTTTATGGTACAGCGCGCACGTGCTAACCATTCAGCCATCCAACCCCCCAGCTGTGAGAGGAAACCAGAGGACCTGGAGAAAGCTCACGAGTTTGTACAGGTGACCCTACAGGTGACCCTACGCCTGAAAAGATTATGGTGCCCCTATAAATATGTAACGAATATATATATAACAGTAAAATAACCTTTTATCATTCAATATAGGAGATTAGTATCAATAACAATATTTGGTGGTCGGGGAGGGGGGCATTTATTTCATCCTGTTGGTATTTCATCATTTTGATTTCAAATGGTGAACAATGGGGATACTTGATTAACTTCCCAGAATTTAATTCTTTTTAATGTACCTCAAAAAATGTCATAAATCAGAATAAAACTTGAGAATCTCAGGTAACAAGGCCTGAATATTATATTATCTAGACCAATCTTTATATATCTAGCTAGTTTTGTGGATGGGACAAAACAGAGGTCCCCTGTACACATTGGTGTGCACATAAAAGATATCTTGACAGTTTGAATTTGATATAAGAGTAGGCTGTAGTGCCACTGTCCGAGCAAAATTTCCCTCATAGCACACTGTATGGCGTATGCCCGTCTTCATTAGCCCAGTCGGAGCAGAACAGAAGGACGTAAAACCCCATTTTATTTCATTTTATATATGTAGCTGAAACTCTAGATAACGTCACACATCCTATATGTTTTGGAATTGTAGAACTGTGACTGAACTCAATTCTGTGTCACTTGATTGCAAATCCAGGAATTCAAAATCTTTTGGATTGACAATCTAGACCAATCTTTTCTATATGTTTGGGACTCGCAAAACCGGGACAAGACTCAACTCAATTCTGTGCCACTCCAGTGCAAATCCATCATTTTAGAATTTTCTGGATAGACAACCGAGCACCAACTTTATGCACAATAAAATATGTTATATTTACCATTTCTAGGCTAGGATCAAGTTCAAATGAACCATGATCATCTAAATAATCAATGATTGGAACGCCAAATCCTCCAAACATATAGATTCTGAAAATACAGAATAATCTTAGAAAAGAGAGAGAAAAAGAAAACAAAAAATGTGGTTTAATCCGTTGAGTGCGTAGGTCAGTATATAACATCCTGGACAACTGCCACTCACTGTGTGTAGGGCGTAATATAACGCCTTGGAGGTATAGTTCTTCGTCACTTCGTCAAATTAATTACACAATAGGGGGGAATTAGAGAGAGAGAGAGAGAGAGATGGGGTTTAATGTCCACTCAACACAAACTAGATCATTTTGGGACTAACACATGGTTCAATTTTATTTCAATAATTCACTTGCACGTAGGGGTCTTTCGCAGTGGGAGGAAACTGGGAGACCTGGAGAAAACCAACGAGGTTGGAAAGGTGACCATACTCCTTGTCACGTACAACCGGGGAATCGAAACCACGCCAGTTGACTCAATGCTCAATGACAGACCTTATGATACAGCGTGCTAACCATTTGGCCCTCCACCCCCAAACAAAGAGTTCTTTTATGTGCCTATCATATCTTGATTTTGTGTACCATCCTAACAACTAGACAATATCCTGCACCAAAGAGAGAGAGAGAGAAATCGGGTTTAACGTCCACTCGACACAACTAGGTCATTTCGGGACTAACATATGGTTTAATTTTATTTCAATAATTTGCTTGCGCATAGGGGTCTTAATCAGTGGGAGGAAACAGGAGGACCTGGAGAAAACCCACGAGATTGGACAGGCGACCCTACTCCTTGTCACGTACAACAGGGGATTCGAAACCACGCCAGTTGACTCAATGACAGACTTTATGATACAGCGCACACATGCTAACCATTCGGCCATCCAACCCCCCTCCTGCACCAAAGACAAGGGGGAACCTAAGGAACTTTCTCAGCCAAAACCTGCTGGCTAATGAGCCAGTGCCATACTCGGTAAGCCGCCATGTCTCCCTGATAATATATTTATTATCTAATGATAATATTTTGGGATAATCAGCTTTAGCCATAGTGACCTATAACTTACTTTTCGTTATGATACCAAGCTGTAGCTTTATCTCTCGGACTGAACAATTCACCAAGAACTATCAAACGACTCCATGTTAAATCTTTCAAATTTAATTTATAAATGGAGTTACAGTTGCCGTTAATACTATGACCACCAATTATATATAAATAATTATCGTAAATACAACTACAACATCCTGACATACCAGGGGGTACATCACCATTTGTTCTATGACAAGACCTGTAAAAAAAAAAAAAGGATTCATAGAATTCCTGGAATCCAATAATACAAGGAGATAATTTTCTTCATTGTGAGATCTTGAAACTAATGCAGAGGTAAACATGTGAGCAATCAGATATATAAAACAATGAGCTTAATTATTAATATCTAATTAGTCTTGATTACTCCAGCCCAAACTTTATTAGTCTTGATTACTCCAGCTCAACCTTTCCCTGTTTCAATTACAAGGAATGCTGGTCAGGATAAAATAGCATCAAATGTTGTGTTAAGTAATAATAATACTGTCAAACTTTTTGCATATTTAGTAAATCATAAGACTCGTAAGCAATGCAGACCTGGGTCATCTGGACCAGAGAGGCTGGAATAATTTGCAAACCTGTGTTTATTAGTTTAAAATATTGTCTCAGTGACAAGCACCTGGAATTCCATTTTGACTCGCTATATGTTCAGGGCACCGAACCCACCCCCTGAATGAATTTTGTGATGACAGACATGCAGTCTGTTTACCTTTCCGATGAGAGAGAGAGAGAAATGGGGTTTAATGTCCACTCGACACAAACTAGGTCATTTCAGGACTAACATATGGTTCAATTTTATTTCCATGTGGGAGGAAATCGGAGGCCCTGGAGAAAACCCACGAGGTTGAACAGGCGACCCTACTCCTTGCCAAGTACAATCGGGGAATCGAAACCACGTCAGTTGACTCAATGACAGACTTTATGCCTTTCCGATGAAAGTTGAAGACTCATTTTCATCTTAACCAATTAGTAAGCCGTACGAAAATTTTTGTATGACCTTTAACCCTGAAAAGATAACTTTTTGTCGAAGCAGGGATAATTTTTCTATTCTTACCAGATTTCTAATTCTAAATTATAAACCCACACATCTTCTGGTGGTAAATAACGTTCCTGTCCATCCTCCTGCAATATACATAAAACAACGGTAAGGCGCTGGCTCGCTAGTCTGGAGGTAGCATGTTCGATCTCAGCATTGGCCAAAAAAGTTCATCATGATTTTCTGACATGGTTTCCCCCTGTCAGTGGTGTTGGAAGGAAGGCCTGATGAGGACAGCTGTCTAGTCATTTGGATGGGACAAAAAACTGAGGTCTCGTGTACACATTGGCGTCCATGTAAAAGATCCCTTGACAGTTGGAATTTGATATAAGAGTATGCCATAGTGCCGTTGCTTGAGCAAAATTTTCCTCATAGCCCACTTCATTAGCCCAGTCGGTGCAGAACAGTAGGACGTAAAAACCCCATTTCATTTCATTTACATAAAACAACTGTTTTCTTTTCATGATATCACTACCGGTAACACAATTAACTGTCCATCTCAGTCCTATTATTTGGTCATTTTGAATTGTTAAACCTAATTCATAAAGAAAGAGATAGAGATGGGGTTTATCATCCACTCGATACAAACTAGGTCATTTTGGGACTAAAATATTGTTCAATTTCATTTCAATAATTCGCTTGTGCACAGGAGTCTTTAGCAGAGGGGGGAAACCGGAGGACTCGGAGAAAGCCTACGAGGATGGTGGGTGAATCGAAACAATTCCACTTGGCTCAATGACAGACCTTAGGGATTTCACGTGCATATGTTAAACCTCTAGACAACCCAATTTTGACAATTAGAAAAAATAGACGCAATTTTGTGAACGATGAATCTCTAAAAGAAACATCAATCCAAAAATGTGTTTGGTATTTACAAAGATTCATGATGAACTGAAAACTTCAGAACATGCAGCATCCTCTGTAGAAAACACAAACCAGCCAGCAACCCTTATAAGTATTGGGTAAATCCTTTTACAAGTTTTTTTTAATTCAATAAAATCCAGACTGGAAGATTTATATCTACAGAACCTGCAGCATCCTATTTAGATGGCATAAACCAGCCAGCGACCATAGGTACTGTACGTGTTGGGAAAATCCTTTTACGAGTCTCTTTGTAATCCGATAAAATCCAGACTGCGAGACTTATATCTACTGTTGATATTTTAGTTTTGTTTCCATAACTTAAACATACATTATGCAAGAGCTAATTCTGCCAATTGCAGGTCTTTCTTTAGGTCTGAAATGTTATCTAAATTATTAATTAGACATTAATTAACTTATCCAGATCATAATCAACTCTCGATTGCATCGCTAGCCTGTGATGTTTATTTGATTAGGTTCCAATTTGCTGTTCGACTTCCATTCATAATTTAATCATGAAATGGATAATTGAGACTATGTTTTTTATCCTACCGACTATATAGTAATGATGATCGAGGACAGGCCGAAAATTCAATCACTAAAATCTTGGTACATAGTGGATCAATTTGACTGAAATTATCAGCAAATTCCCTTTACAGTATCTAGTTTTTAACTATTATAGTGAGAACTGCCAGCTCTTTATCTAATCTCCCATAATGTATCTTTAGCAGTTAAGCTGTGAAAAAATTGAAAACTACAGAACATGTGGCATCTTTAGATGGCATATACCAGTCAGCGACCTCTGTAAGTGTTGGGCAAATCCTTTTACGAGCCTCTTTTTAATCCGATAAAATCCAGACCGGGAGACTTATATCTACTGTTGAATGCCATGTTTACCTTATAACCTCCCCATACTAAAACATTCATTCCAACACAATGTGTTATATGACCACATCTTGGTGATATTGTAGGAGTGTGTCTTCTTTCATCTTCTGGTTGTTCTTCATCACTTCCATTCTCTATATGCCTACCCTCGTCATCTGCTGACATCCTGGTTTCTCTTGAGAGGAAAACAAAAAAAAAATACTATAAATTATATAATTTATTTATAGCCTTATCATATCAACCTTCTGTGTTTCGCAAAGAGGCTTTGTGCTTTTTAATAGGCCTATAGTCTTATCTTGCATTAGCTAAAATGAAATGAAATAAGAGTTTAACGTCCGACTGGGCTAACGAAGATGGGTGCACTAAAGGGTATCACGTCATTTGGGACTCAACATAAACGACATTTGGGACTCAACATAAACGACATTTGGGACTCAGTTGACGACGTTTGGGACTTGATTGGCGTCAATTGGGACTCAACACAAACGACATTTGGGACTCAATATAAACGACAGTTGGGACTATTTATTTATGAGATATATAGTAACAGCTGTCTTAGTTGTCTTTCGTTTTATTTAGTTGATCGGCGATTGTTGAGACCGCGATTAACACTGCTAGTTCTCTTTTGTTTTGTTTTATCTGCGAGTATAAAACTTCTCCTTTGTTTTGTTTTATCTGCGAGTATTAATCTTGACAATAATATATTGTTGAAAATTTGTGTATATTTAGTAATACTTCGTTGATTTTCTTTTACCAAATAGTAAACGAGCTTGATTGACCGACCACTGCTAATGTTTTTTCGTGAAACCGTATAACTGCAATCAACACATGGCCGCCATTCTCGATGATTGACAACTCACGTTTTTCCTCATCCACCAAAGAACCGTTAGGTTTCTTTGAACATACTGCAATAACATAGGGATTATCAGTTAATCAGCTTTAATTATCCCGCTTTGATCGTTGCCATCTATATATATATTTGTGACTGTCGTTTGTCTGTCTGTCTGTCTGTTCGGGGTTGGCGGCTACACTAGGTCTGCCCCGAGTCTGAAATTTGGGGTATAGGGGTAGCTCGGACCGGGGAGTAACATAGGCCAGGTGGCGTTAGTCTACCACTTCCGGTTTCGGAGTTATGACACCCGAGCGAAGCCGGTCTGTTCGGGGTTGGCGGCTACACTAGGTCTGCCCCGAGTCTGAAATTTGGGGTATAGGGGTAGCTCGGACCGGGGAGTAACATAGGCCAGGTGGCGTTAGTCTACCACCTCCGGTTTCGGAGTTATGACCCCCGAGCGAAGCCGGTCTGTTCGGGGTTGGCAGCTACACTAGGTCTGTCCCGAGTCTGAAATTTGGGGTATAGGGGTAGCTCGGACCGGGGAGTAACATAGGCCAGGTGGCATTAGTCTACCACTTCTGGTTTCGGAGTTATGACCCCCGAGCGAAGCCAGGTATCCTGCTAGTTTCTTATATTTTCACACAAAAAAACTTTGCCTTGTACGCACTAATTTATCGATTGTTATTGCCATCTACGACAAGCATGTCAACGTGCAGCACACGGATAATCGTTAACAATTTCTAGGGGCTTGTAAAAAAGATTGCATGTCGTGTAAATATTTATTTTTTTTTGTGTAGGTCATTTTCAAATAAATTCATCAGCATATTATTCGTTTTAAATAAATATATAACTTTTATGAGAAACGATGATTATCAAAGAACCGTAAGTGCAACTAATGTTTTATCGTTTGGTTGAGCCTTTTACTAACCACGTGTTTCATGTTAATAAATATTTTCTTTCGTGTTTTGAATTGGCCTATTTCTAATAAATTATCCCGAGTCCCAAACGTTGTATACCCCAGTCCCAAACGACGTATACCAAAGTCCCAAACGTCGTATACCCGAGTCCCAAATGTCGTGGTCATATTTTTTTGAGTCCCAAATGACGCGAGTCCCAAATGACATGTAATCCACTAAAGCAGGCTAAATACCTGATCAAAGGCAAAATGTTGCCTGTTGACCTTCAACCACAGTGTCTTTTTAGCTAAGCACTAAACATTTTCACTGCATGGGTCTAAATTAGTCTGCTATCTAGTCAAAGTCTAGTGTATTATTGCGTAATCGTCTGAATTCACCAAAAATTCTTGACATCTAAATTACACGCTCTATGTTCGCAAATTTATAATCTCGAGTAAGCTATAAATTCTTTAATTCACTTCAGCAAAAGTTAGACGGACTGAATTACCTGCATTCGCATAAAAGAATATGTATATTTATTTCACACGCCACTAGTCCGTAAGATAATAATAGATAAAATCTACATTGAAATTAATTTTGTTGACAAAATATTTATTCAGCCATTTATTTGGAGTTATTTCCCCTTTCCTGTTAACTTGATCAAGCAGGTCTTTTTTGTGAATATTTGTTGTTAAAGGGAAACAACTCTAGTTATCACAACATGTGGAGTAAGACTTCTTTTGATAATTTCATACTTAGGGTTTATCTTTTATATCAGCAAAGAGATCTACATTTACAATTTCTTAAATTCATTATTTCTAAAAAATACTTACCCCAAAAATTAAATGCTGTGGAGTGGGGGCTGAATAGGCCTGGGATTTGTGATGGGACACAAATATCAGATCATTTATGCAAGCTTTGAGTTCTATTATTTCGCTCAAAACTAAATAGTTTTTGAAATTAACATGGGATTTTTCTATATCAATAATTTGCTCGTTTACAGGGGTCTTTTGGAAATGAGAGTACACCAAAGTACCCAAATGAAACGCTGGTGATCTTACTCCTGGTCACATACAAACCTTGAATTGAACCCATGACTTGTATAATATAGGTCTCTACAGCACAGCTATTATCAGACCACTTGATAAAGAAAGCCCTCTCACTCTCATGCAACTTTATTTATGTTTCATGAAATGAATGGTGTTAAAGGCCCTAAATCCCTATTCTTTGGCACTCAGGAATGGATACAATGCATATAATATAATATGAATGCATATAAATTGATTTACATTTAAAGGACAATATTGGTGCCAGTCATTATCACATGTGATAGAGTTGGTTAAACAGTTTGAAATATAATTTTAACACAGAGATCATTGCTACGATAGATGCGTAATGAGGTTTCAACAATCGGAAGTGACGAACACAAAAGGATAACACGAGTTATCCCTCTATATAAATGACTGAAGTGATGAGCGATAGCAGATACACAGGCGAATTGAGTTGAAGACTTGCCTCCTTTAAACGTCCTACTACACCAACTGGCTAAAGAAGACAGGCATGCACCATCCAGTGTACTATGAGGGAAATTTTCCTTGGACAGTGGCATTTCTGCCTACTTTTTACTAATTTCCAACTGTGGAATATTCTTTGACAAGCACGCCAACGAGTACATAAATGGACCTCACTTATCCTTCCCATCCAAAGGACTAGACACTTTTCCTTGCCATCACTGACAAGGGGAAATCATGGTGGGGAATTTGGAGGACTTTATTGGTCAATACCGTAATCAAACCTGGGATTGCCTGTTAAGTGAGACAGGAATCAAATGGACCATGGAGCTAGTCTCATAGTACATGTATATAAATAAAGTTATGTACAAGTACGTTCCGAGAGTCATATGAAATGGGCTCCTGCCGTCCTGGAGAGCTGAGAACGTTAAGAGAGCAATTTACAAGAACCAACTTTTATCAATAAGCACTTTAATGATTAGCAATAACAAAAACAAGTTTATCATAAGAATAAAATTATTGGACAAATTCACATATCAATAACACTGCCAATAGTAGCATAACATTTGAGGAATAAAATATAAATAGTTATACTCGCTACGAATACAATAATATATATCACAGAATCATCATAAATATAATTTAATCATTTATAAAATAAACTCTTGAGGACAATTTCCACAAGATGGGATGATGACAACTTTACGGTTCTTGGACAGATTACATTATAATTTGGTCATCAAGTATAGCAAACTGCCATTCACGTTATAGTTAAAATTATATTTTATATGACTTAGAAGCTGTTGTTTCAGTTGTCACTGGTCTAAATTATAACATAATTTGTTAAAAACTATTTTTAATTGGCATATGTACTGATCTAAGATCATATATTCATAACATATATATATTTATATATATACCAGTAATAATATCTTTAAATACTCTATAAATAAACTTTTTTGAGAGCTGTAGCTATGGAAGCGGACGTAATCAGTTGATTATAGTCATCATCAGCTGTTTGATGTTTGAAAAACCCACAAACGACTAAAGCTGTGTACATGTAATACATATGACATCGTAAAAAAAACTAGCATGTATTCACATCAGAGCTCTATAAATAGACTTTTTTGAAGGCTGTAGCTATGGAAATGGACGTAATCGGCTGATCATAGTCATCTTCAACTGTTTGATGTTTGCAAAAACCCACAAACAGCTAAAGCTGCGTACATGTACCACATATGACATGGAAAAAAACTAGCATATATTCACATCATAGCTCTCAATCAAAATTTTGCTAGCTGGTCAATTTTTGGCTTATTTTATTTGCTCCCACATTTATATTTCCTGTATGATGATGATGATAGTGAATATGGAATGGTGAATAGCATTGAGTCAGAGTGATCATGTCATGAAAATATTATTGACGTTATAGTTTGGATCAGTTTGACAAATAATAATATCTTGGTAATTTAATTAATCATCAACTTAAAGATTTGAATTGATCAAATATACATGTATAACTTTAATTTAGCCACCATGTCCAGGTATTAATAGGATTTAATTCCACTTGATTTTAGTCAAAATAAAATGTTGAATTGTGGGAGTAGGCATGGGTTTGGTGGGGGGAGGTGCAGTGAGGGTTATTATAGACAGGACACATTTTCATTTCAAAAGATTACACGGACGTTGTTTCCTTTATCAATTGTGTACATGGCATACAATTCTCCGGAATACAAGTCCTGTTTATTACCATGTGATTTTTTGACTAGGATGTACATAATAATGAATTTATACAGTGCTTTAACTTAAACAACAATATACTTGTCAGTGGAGCTCATTTATACATTTAATTACATAGCAAAATGAAATACACAAATAATACAGTTATTATTACAAAGTTATGCTGGTTTTAAACATTCTAATAGGATAAAATGATAACTTTCAATGAACAAGTCTGAGGTATCAACAAAACACATACTTATGGAAAACAGCTACTAGTGTATTTAAGGCGACGTTTCGTAGAGTATTCTCTCAACGTTATCAAGCTAATAGCTAATAGCTTGATAACGTTGAGAGAATACTCTACGAAACGTCGCCTTAAATACACTAGTAGCTGTTTTCCATAAGTATGTGTTTTGTTGTTACTCTATCCAGTTACTAAATGCCATTTAAAGAACAAGTCTGAGATATGTAATTAGATAGGAATAAGGGTGTTGCTTAGCAACGATGCAAGACATAAACAATTATTATTATCCAATTAACTTATACACATCACAGCAACATATTTATATGTAAGGCTACACAAAATAAATGTCTTGTTTCTCGGGCAACTGACAGCTGAAACTGTAGGGGGGGAGGGCGGTTTATTTTTTTTTTTTTACCTCATTTCTGGCTAGAGGATGGTGCAAAATAAAATTTGGCTATTGTTGAAAATTGTTGGGGCGGGAGGGCGGCCTTGTATTTTTTTTTTTTTTAATGAGAAAGTCATTACTTGTCTACAGTTTTGCTTTCAGTTATATATTATACATACTTAGAACATAAACCCAAAAATCAAGTCTACTCAAACACTGAACACTGACTGTAAGGAAAATAATTTTCCATATTTAATTCACGTAATGTAGCTTACTAATGGTAATGGTGACAACCATAATTGAAATTGGTTTAAAATAAAATTCCGTACGACTATTAATAGCCGTCCATAATAACGACAATATTTTAAAGGGTAAGCCTCTGTCAGCATGTGTATCAAAAATAATCATCACGGTAAACGACACTTAGATCTAAATCTAGTATCGCTGGTTTATAATGATTGACCTAATTCCAACCAATGCATGTCACGTGTCATCGGGATTCGGGAAATGACTGTTTCTCAGGATATTCGGTGTGTTTCTCAGGATATTCGGTGTTCTATGTGGGGTTTATATCGAATGACTATTTAAATTTAACTAACAACTGGTCAGTAAAACCATCAAATGTGTAATCCAATTATTATTTTCCGGATTATCAAAACTACCGTTAAATGTGCTAATGACCCAGATTCTGACTAAGGTATAGTGACTAACATCGTATCGTATTCGTAGCCACAAGTTATAATAATTAACCTGTTCTACGATTCATTGTTTTATAAGTAGGATTTTTTCAAACATGGATCGACTGAAGCCGGCAATAATGAGCCGATTAAGATCGAATGATTGAAATACAATGCATTGTTGTCAATGACTTTCGGTGTTTAACACGAATCAAATTCTAGTTCACAAGGGGAGGTAATTAAAATCATGTGATACAAAAATGGAGGTTCTTTCGATATCTATAAAAATGACCCGTAAATGAGCGTTTACATCTGAATCAGTTTAATACATTTGAATGGATATTCACGTATGGGGCATGTAGATACATGTGGCATATTCTTTTTATGACTTGCTTATCGATGTTCGGGCGGGCGTTACATATTTTTTATTTTTCATCAAGACTAATAAATAGGCCGCACTCGCAACTAATTTTTCGTGCGGGCGGTGCCCGAGAAACAACTTATTTTATTTGTGTTGCCTAAGCCTGAAAGAAAGCACCTGGCTCAGATATTGTCAGGAACAATTTTATCTGATGCCTGTCACATGTCTGTTATAGATTTATCTTTATTTTTCCAGTGTTTTTATAAATACATTTGCAACACAAATTTCAAAATATCAGACTTTGTCCAGCACAATTTCATCTGGTGATTGTCCTTATGTCTGGCACAGATTTATCTTTATTTCTCGGTTTATGATTTTATTTATACATGTCTGGCACCAAATTCAAAGTATAAGTTGCTAGTTCAATGATGCCATCTTTAATTGCACCTGCCATCTAAAACTGTCATATCTATATCCATGTCTATTTATACATGTCTGGCACCAAATTCAAAGTATAAGTTGCTAGTTCAATGATGCCATCTTTAATTGCACCTGCCATCTAAAACTGTCATATCTATATCCATGTCTATTTATACTAGTTCCCACTCGCCCTCATCACTACCTATACTCAACGATCGCAACGTACCAACTTCTTCAACCATTTCTCGACGCTGTAAATATTTAAACTTTAGATGCATGAGTTGTCCTTGCGTACTAACACTCCATAGTTCATCACTGGATGATACTGAAACAAACAAAAATATAAACAAGAGAACTTACAGTGATGTAACATTATGAACACATATTACCGTTACCAACTGCATTCCTCAAACTCTCTCCAGTCATTGGGGGGGTTGGATGGCCAAATGGTACTAGCCAATGCACGTTGTATCATAAGGTCTGTGATTGAGTCAACTGGACAGGGCCCTGTTTCTCGAAATCTTAACCAAAGATAAAATCCAAATTTTAGTCGATACTTCAATTTTGATTGGCTAAGCACTAAAATCAATCTAATATTATCCAATCAAATTACTAAAATTTGGATTTTATCTTAGTTAAAATTTCGTGAAACAGGCCCCAGGTTTCGATTCCTGAAATATTCTAGTTTTATCCTGATTTAAAGGTCACCTGTTATTAAATCTGAACGTAACAGGGAGATAACCCTGAACTTTGCAATTAGAATGTTTTACATTTTCATGGAATTTTTCTCGATCACTACCATAAGGGCATACAAAATGTGAATAAGGGCTATAACTCTACTAGTTATAAAGCAGATCTGATCATGGTGAATTGATCAATGTAATAGCTCAAATTCAATAGGATTCTTCAACTCTATAATGTAAACAACATGCAGATATTTTTTGTAGAATGATACCAAGATATGATAAAAAGAAGAGGGTACCTGAAATACAGGTACTAAGACCAGGTATTTTCTTCCAGTAATCACCCTGGACATTTTTATCTGTAATACCATATCTATAGAAGACTTCTCCTTGAGGATTTAATGCCCATACTCCAGTTTCACTGATAGATAACTTAGTAACCTGTATACCTACGAAAATGTATAAAATATCTGTAGAAACTAGGCCTTAAATATGTTGAGAGAATATGTCCGTGTATTAAAAGGTATTTCTCTTTCCCTAGAGAATAGGAAAATAGAATGACCCTTTACATAACATATCTCAAGAAAATAGGCCTTAATAATGCAAAATAGCCTGAAAAATACCCTACCCTAGAGAAAAGCACTTGAAAATACAATGGTCATAGGCTCTACACAAAATATCTCAAGAAAAACATCCTTAAAATGTGTCCAATGTTAATAAATAAATCTGTGGTTTAAACGAAGAAATATTCCCCAATTATAGCTATTTACAAAGGTCAATTCCGCAATGAATAAAGGAAAGAGCAAACAGTGTCCATCCCAATTAGAGACCTGTCAGATAAAATATTGAGATATAAATATCCGTAATTACAAGATTTACAAACAAAATGAAAAACTCACCTGGTACATTTTTCCATTCTTTACCTATAGGTAATTTTTCTGTTATGCCTATTCTAACATAGGCTAATTTTCTACTATCAACTGCCCATACCTACAAAATTTATTAAATATCAAACTGGTATGTCAGTAATGCCCTGCAATGAAACAGATGCCGAAAAGCTGACAGCGCTATCCATGAAAATAGTGAAGGGAGATAATATTGTGATACAGAATGTGGCATAAGTCACACTGGATTGTTTATCAATACAAATTTCAACAATATTTCACCAAAATTTCAACAGTTTATTAAACTGAAATCATCACTGATCAGGCGATATAAAAGGCTTACAAACTATGTTAATTACATCAATTAATCTGCATTTGTTCGGATTCCAAATTCCAAGTAAACCAAGTTTAATAATGACAAATGCAAACACAACTGCAGCAATACCGCATGGCATAATTATCATGTTTGTAGTTAGCTTTTCATGTAGTTTGTAAACCTGGTGTCTCAGACTTGACAAGACCTTTTAAAATTCAGACTCAAGTGAAGCCATCTGCTTGAGTCTACACAAAAAAAACCGAGAAACTACATCACACTTTGAATAAGTGTCAAAACCAAAGACATGGACCAAACCATCTAAAATATGGTCATGGATCTTAATAAATTATCCAGTTAAAAGGTAGCTACACAGAAAGATGGACTTCAACTAGTAATTCTCTCTGGGTCTATAACATTTGTTTTCTAACATTCCGCCAATCTTAAATTTTGTAACAACAATAGGGAAGTAATTACTGGTCTTACTCCTGATGTGGAAGTCAAAACAAAAGTAATTCCAGCTCAAAACTAAAGTCTTTGAAATGTTTTTTGTGTCCTTGGGAGTTTCTGTGTAACGAACAGTATAGGGGGCATTGCTTAGTGAGAATGGATAGATTATTCAATAATATAAGTCTTACCATCCAGTATTGAGATCCGACAGCTATATGATTGAAGGCTATTCCTGAGAATGAATCCAACGGTAACCAGACAGGACTGAGTTCGAGATCAGCTGGTGATTTACAGCCTATTCTCTGATACACCATACCAGCTGAATCTACGGCCCATATATACTGCATGTTACAACACAAATGCACTAAATGGGCATCCCCTGAAACCGAAAGTAGAACAAGCTCTCAACCTTTTAAATATGCTAACTGTGTATACGTAGCCATTGGCATCAACAAAAAAGAAACTGAAGAGTAGGCAAAATTATCCTTCCTCACATTGCACATGTAACCATAGCAAAAAAGAAAAATATGTTTGTCTCAAAATGCCCAAAGTATTATGTTGATGAGACATTACAATTCATTCTATTAAAGATTTAGATATAACAGTTCAAAAATAGATAATGCAAAACGAATATATTGAAAATTTCATTCAAATTACTCTATTGCGAGCGAAAATATTAGCCTTCGAAGGTTTGACAAGATGTGTGCATTAATTGCAACCACTGTACTGGTTGTTCAAAGCTTAGCTTCGCTTCTCCATTTCTAAAATATATCAAAATATGGCTGAACCGTTGTAATCTACTTAATATCGGAGATATCCGATGGCATCGAGAGTTAATTGTGGTCTTGTCATATTAATAAATGTCTAATTCATAATTTATATAACATTTCAGGCCTAAAGAAAGACCTGCAATAGGAAGATTTAGATCTTGCATAATGTATATATATGGCCTTATTCATGAAGTAACATATTAATATCATCTTAAAATTCTTTACCAAGCTGAGATAAATCTAGCTGGGACCATTTGGAACCTTGTGGACAATACGGTCCCATTCCAGATCTAGCATAAACCTTTCCATCGTCTGTTAGTCCCCATACGGCCAGCCTACAGGCGGATAAACATGTAAATACTGGTGATGATGGAACAGTTGAAGGAGTTCTTGTATCAGCAGGAAATGTATAAATATCACCATTTGGTTGCTGGGCCCACACTAAACCTATATAATAAACAAAATTTAATTAAATGTGCAATTTAATGATAACTAATGTTAGCTATTAAAACACAAGTTTAAGCAATGAAATGAAATGAAATGGAGTTTAACGTTAATTCTGCTCCTACTGGGCTGTAATGAAGATGGGCATACACCATACAGTGTGCTATGAGGGGAGAGAGAGAGAGAGAAATGGGGTTTAACGTCCACTCGACACAAACTAGGTCATTTTGGGACTAACATATGGTTCAATTTTATTTCAATAATTCGTTTGCGCATAGGGGTCTTTAGCAGTGGGAGGAAACCGGAGGACCCGGAGAAAACCCATGAGGTTGGACAGGCGACCCTACTTCTTGTCACGTACAACCGGGGATTCGAAACCACGCCAGTTGACTCAATGACAGGCTGTGTGATACAGCACGCACGTGCTAACCATTCGGCCATCCAACCCCCCGGGCTATGAGGGGAAATTTTGCCTAAACAGTGGCGCTACATAACAACTCTTTCAGATCCTAGTGTAGTAAAGACAAGTAGAACGAATTATAAAAAAATGAAACGAAATAGGATCTGTGTTTTAATCAGATTGCCTTATTCCATACATCTCAGTTCCCTCTTCTTGAAAAGGCCTGATTCACCCCTGTACATGTGGATCTACTGAGTGACATTGATGTATATGTATATATATATATATATATATATTTTACTTACCCCAGTCTAAATCACATAGATCAGCACAAACTAGTTTCCATGCTGTAGATGCAGCAATACCAACAGGTGGACAATCATCCCAGCGAAAACCTAAATATCATAAAATACATCTTAATTATCACTTATAAAAAGATAAAAATCACCAACAATCTAATGAATAAGTGGGAAAGAATACATCACCAGGATCAACTGACTTGTATTTCCTTTATTTGCTCGCATGCAGGACTCTTCAGTATTGGGAAGAAAACAGAGCCTAGTGTAGACTGAGGCAGCCAACCTAACTTTCTATTGCATTCCAACTGTTAATTAATCTTCTATTTCTATGCTACTGTATATGGGTAGACCTCAGTTTTCTGTACCATCGAAAGGACTAGACATCATATCACCCAGCTCAGATGTCCCCCTTGAGATCTTGGGAACTGGGCTTCTTGACCAACAGCACAATTGATATGTTGGTAGAGTAAGAAGGTTAGGGAACCCTAGGTGATACAGATCATTAATTTGGAAGAAATTTAGCTTAGCTTCAATACATTTTTATCAAATTTTCTTTGGACAGAAGTTTGTTTCATTTCTTTCCCATTTATTACAATCTGGTTAAAATACAGATCTATATTTCGTTTTGTTTTTTTATACTTTCGATGGCCTCTACTACATCTGACCGGTTGTAGTGGAAGGTCGCATCAGAGGTCATACAAACGGCTTTTGACCCTATGACGTCAGACATTTGATTAACCAATCAGCGTTGATGTTTCTAGTGGGATACACACAGTTCCATACACCTCACACCAAAAACTTGTAACAGACCGCTTCATTGGCTAATCCCTCACATCATCCAGAACACGGGTAATATAACAACTCTTCCCGATCCTAGTGTAGTAAAGACAAGTAAAAACGAAATTTTGAACTATAAAAAAAAAATCGAAATGAAATGGGATCTGTGTTTTAATCAGATTGCTTCAATTATAAGTGGTGGTAACAGGATAACCAAGATTATAAATCACAGAGGCGGTGACGTACCTAATATACTTCCTCGACAGACATGTAATATATTTTTATATTCTGGACAGACCCATATACTTGTTTTACTAGCTGCTATCAGACCACCTCTATTTGAACTGATCAAATATGTTAATTTCTGGGGATCAAATTTACTAGCTAGTGATTTCAGCTGGTCTAAAGCTGTGGAATCCTCTACAAAATATTCACTCAGTGGAATCTGAAACACAAATGAAATGAAATGGGATTTAACTTCCTAATTTTCGGCACCAACCGGACTAATGAAGATGGGCATATACCATGCAGTGTACCATGAGGGATAATTTGGCACAGAAATCACCATTTCAGTCCAATTCTGTCAAATTTCAACTGCTAATTTATGAAATAAAATAAAATGGGGTTTAGCATCCTATTCTTCTACTCTGACTGGAGTAATGAAGACGGGTGCTAATATACAGGTCACAATTCTATGGAATACAATTACTGCTTATTAGTTAGCGACGTCTTGCCTAGGCTTCTCTAGTCATTATCAAGCTTGATAGTAGCGACGTCTTGCCTAGGCTTCTCTAGTCATTATCAAGCTTGATAGTAGCGACGTCTTGCCTAGGCTTCTCTAGTCATTATCAAGCGATGATAAAGGCCTAGTCGAATAGTATTTGTATTCCATAGAATTGTGACCAGTATATTCCAGCTCATTTACTAAATGCCATTGAATCAATTCAACTGCTAATTAGTGTTATTCGGTATGCATGCCAACGTCTACAGTGAGCCAGAAACTTAGACAATCCATTTTGTTTTGGTGTTGATTTAATGGATAAGGTAATTTCGAATGATTTCGTAATTAATAAATACCTAAGCCATTTAGTTACTTATTTGGGGGAAGGAAGCATTGGGATACGCCCACCATTTGTTGGATCATCAAACCTATTTTAACCAGGGCCCTTATTCACGAAAACTTAAACTAAGATACAATCGAAATTTTAAGAAATACTGCAATTCGATTGCCTGACCAGTAAAATCAATTTGCATATATCCAATTTACATATTGGTCAGCCAATCGAATTGCAGTATTTCTTAAAATTTCAATTGTATCTTAGTTTAAGTTTTCGTGAATAAGGGCCCAGACTTAAATTGATCAAACCCTACAGTGGTTGCCCATCATTACCTTTTAATATCAATTACAGCTCCTTGCACTAAAACCAGCACATATTCAGAGATTTGAATTATCATATTGTTCAAAAAGTATAGTAATGTGTATATTAGGAAAATTATTTTTACCTGCCACCATTTTCCACTTCCTGTTGGTTTTTCCATCGATACGTCTGTTAAACACCATATTCTACCCAATACATCAATAGCCCAGCCATTTGTATGTTCCAGATAAACATGGCCGAAAAATAAAGATTCTGTACCACTAAAATGAAATGAAATGGGTTTAACATCCTACTGTTCTGCTCCGACTGGGCTATTGAAGACGGGCATACGCCATACAGTGTGCTATGAGGGAAATTTTGCCCGGGCAGCGGGACTACGGCCTATTCTTATATTAAATTCCGACAGCCAAGGGATCTTTTACATGCACTTCAAGGTATACACGGGACCTCAGTTTTTCATATCATCTGAATGACTAGACAGCTGTCCTTGCGAGGCCCTCCGTCTCCGTCCTGCATCACTGACAAGGGGGACCCGCGCCGGAAAATCTCGATGAACTTTCTCGGCCAATGCAGGGATCGAACACCCGACTGCCAGGCTAGCGAGGCCTGCATTTGTGCCTGATGATGTCTGTGATTAATTGTAGTAATCTGTAGGATGAAATATGATAACTATGTGAACTAGGATAGTCATTTTGCTCATCAACAATGACAGGGGCTGCAGAAATAAAAGAAATATTTAAATAGTTACCTATTGATGGTTTCCCATGATTCTCCAACTTCACAAGCCTTCGTTATTCCCTTTCGATACAAGAGTTTCATATCAGTAGTTATAGCCCACACAACTCCATTACAGCATGATATTTGTTTTAATTCATAAGAACACAGAGCAGGCTGAGATTTAAAACATGGCCGATCTTTAGATAAACCTTTCTGCATCATTACTTTACCATCAGTTTTAATATACCTACAGAACAATTAAAGAAATTGGGTTAAAGTAGCTAAGTCTCTAACTCAGTATCACCCAAAGTCTTCGACATCGAAAACACAAATTATTTGTCAATTTGGTGTTGTTATCGTATCTTGAAAAGATGGGCTTCTGATATCCAATATTTAAGACAAAATAAACATTTTACCATTGGTACTCGAAGAACGAGGCTAGACATATTCCACAAGTCATGTCAAATGGGGATGCCATATTCTTATCTGGAGAGCATGCGCAATAAATACTATTGGCGTAGAATGGAATAAACAGACGCTAGAGATAGCCGTTCGCTTGACACTTCTGCCGTATTTTGCTGAACTTAACTGATTTGAAATTAGAGTAAAAACGGAAAAGATTGAATATAAATCAGTTTATATACATTCATATTACATTATGTGCGTTGCGACCCATTTGTGTCAATTTCTAGGTCCCAAATATTAGTGATTTAGCTTTTTTAACAATGCCCCAACAGGATAACAGAGAGAGAGAGAGAGAGAGAGAGGGAGAGAGAGAGAGAGAGAGAGAGAGTAACTAGGTCATTTCTGGACTAAAAAAAAGTTCAATTTCATTCCAATAAAGCGTTTGCGCGTAGGGATCTTTATCAGTGGGAGGAAACCAGAGGACACAAAAAAACACACAAGGTGGGACAGGCAATTATTCTGTCAATCAAACAAAGTTTGTCTAATCAGTAATCAAAATAACACATGACAACAACCCAATTATTCTGTCAATCATACAGAGTTTGTCCAATCAGTAATCGAAATAACACATCACAACAACCTAATTATTCTGTCAATCATATAGAGTTTGTCCAATCAGAGAGAGAGAGGGAGAGAAATGGAGTTTAACTTCCACTTGACACAAACTTGGTAATTTCGGGACTAACATATGGTTCAATTTTATTTCAATAATTCACTTACGCGTATGGTTCTTTAGCAGTGGGAGGAAACCGGAGGACCCAGAGAAAACCCATGAGGTTGGAATTGTCCAATCAGTAATTGAAATAACCCAATTCAATACTTTATTTTGTCGTAAAGCAAGGCTCTTTTAATCTAAGTAGACTTGCGTTCTTGGGCTGATAATATTTTGTGAAATATGGACAACATAAGCTCTGTAAATATATAAACAACCTACCATGCAGAGGAATCATCCACAGCAATATACGCCACCTCCTTGACTGAATCCACCCATTTTAAACCCTCAGGTCTTTTACTGGTTATCTTAGTTCCAGCATATGCTACATTTCTATGTAATCTCCAGACAATATGCCCATTCTGTGACACAGCAATCTGAGTGCCGGAGCCAGCAGCTTTACGCCATATTACTTTAGGTCCCGATAACGAACTATAATAAATATTTTCACTTTTGTCTGTGAACCAGACGTGAGTCTCAGATAGTGACAGACTGTACGTATTTGCTCCTGTAGTAATCTCCTCAAAAACATTTGCTGTTATGTTTATTTTGCCGTCAACAGATTCGAGCCTCTGAGGAGATGGCTTTGATGGAGATGGTCGAGAAAGATAGGCCTCTGTTTCTGGAGATTTAAGACGCAAACCACTAACAGGGCTTGTTAGTGAACTACTACTGGAATCAGACTGTTTATTAGCGTAAATGGAATAAAAGTCGTCCGCTGAAGGCTCAGAAAAGAGTTCACAACTGTCTTCGCGAGGTAAGTTTCGAGGGAAATCTTTATCTGTTAGGGAATTAGGAAGTGATTTCTCCTTGGGTGACTTATTTACACTTTTAGTTGAGGAATCTTTTTCTGAGTGCTTAGTTTTATGATCGGAAGATTGCAAAGATGTCTTTACGTTGGAATCTTTATCTCCATTTTCAGGTTTTTCAACATCCTTTTTCACTTCTCTTATTTCAATCTTATTGCTCTCATCTTCTCCCATTTTTGTCTTGTCCCATGACTTTAATTTCAAGGCTTGTCGGTAATCAAGAGATGCAGGATCTTTGTCCTTACCTTTCTCTGGAGAGTCCTGCGCAATAGTTGGAGGTGGAGAAGCAGGTTCTGGCACACTCAAAACAGCAAGTGATCGCTTTAAAATATCATCGGCTCTACTTAATGCATCTAAATTCCCAACTTGATCATCAGCGAATTCACCAGCGGGAATAACCGATTTATTTTCATACTCCTCTAGTTTATTTAATTGTTTGGCGGTTTTTACTGGTGATACTGTCACTGGTACTGAAATCGTATCATCATCATCTATATCATCAGTTTCTTTATCTTTTGATTTGTCTGAAAAGAGAAATATGTTTTACAACAGCTAATCAAAAGACTGCATACTTGTAACAATCTTGGATCTGATTTTAAAGATACATTCAGATTTCGATAAAGAGTCAGACGTTCTTGCTTTAATAGTTCCTAAAAAAGATTATAAATAATCAGTTGCAATGCAAGATACGCCCACATTTTGCAAGAAATGGACAGAGAACAAGGTAAAGAAAATTGATTTTTCGTACAATCAGGGGTCATAATCCAGGGCGACCTTCGGATGTAGACTATGGTCGCGACTACAGTCTGAACCAGCACCCAATCGCAAATGGCCCTAGCCATTGACTATTCAATATGGTGGCAACCATGTCAGTTGTTCCACCTGCTATATTTTCTCCTATTTACTCATGTATTTCTAAAAACTGGTTAATTTTTCATACTGCGATGTGAAAGCAAGCTTAAAATAGGTTACAAATAGGATTAGTCAATATCAGAATATTTTTCATTGGATTTATGTCACCCAACATAGATCATTTCACACGTACAGTTTTTTATCGTGTGGTTATATATATATTCGAATAAGAAGATCCTAATCTGTCAAATTCATCAAAAAAAGACGAAAAAAAAATCAAATTTAACATCTATACTACAATGCCCATTCACTAACTTTCAGGTGTTAACATGGGCCCTATAATACCGACCAAGGTGTAAATAACGCAACGGCAATCCACAATTTTATTATATTTTTCAGAAAATCTTCTCAAGTGTCAGTTTTGTCAGCCATCTTTGAACTATCCCGAGTCCCGACCCTGCTTAATCGCACGGTACGGCTGGTCCCGACCACTGGTTGAACTAAATTTCATTCGCATGCAGATGGTTCGACTATAGTACGAAAATCCTTGCAACAAAAGGTCGCCCAGGATGTTATGATCTGACATGCATCAATATCGAAAGCAATCAAGACTTTTGGGATATAGCCACATATTTTAAGTTTCATCAAAATGGGATAACTAGAGGGGCCACAGCCTTGGAATTACAATTACATGCTTATTATACTATTTGAGTAAATGGGAGCGGCCATTTTGTCTGACAGTCTTAGTTCGATTTTCACACAATGCAAACAAAATCATAATTATGGGTTAACAGTGAAATATTTGAATGGTTTTTAAATTCAAATAAAAATTGTGCCCTCTAGAAGGTCCACAAGCTAAAAATCTGATTTTTTGTACAATCAGGGGCCATAATCTAGAAGTTACATTACATTCTGACATGTGCCAATATTGTAAGGAATCAAAATCTTTAAGTTATAAATACACATTTAAAGTTTCATCAAAACTGGATGAAAATTGTGCCCTCTAATGTTTCCACAAGCTAAAACATGATTTTTCGTACAATCAGGGATCAATAATCCATGAAGCAAGATCTTTGGGATATAAACCTTATTTTAAGTTTTATTAAAATTGGATAAAAGTTGTGACCTGTACAGTATCCACAAACAACATGTGAACAGACATGCAGACACAGACGGACGGACAGGGGCGACGACAATATATGTGGGCCAATAAAAACAAAGTTCTAACAGTTTGTTATCAGTTATATTATTCAACTGAACATCATCAACTTCACAATTATCTTCGCATAAACATAATGTGGTTAATCAATATTTATGAATAGGCAGTAAAAAGAAATATGTCCTGCTATATCTAATGATGTATATTCAGGTATTTTGTACATAATATTCTCTCATTACACATATAATATAATATATGCAGTATGGTACGTTATATTGTATTGTTTATTTCACACTTATTCATTTTCAGTTCATGTGTACTGTGTATTTGCGGTTTCAATGTTTGTGTATATTGCGTATTTGCAGTTTCAATGTTTGTGTATATTGTGTATTTGCAGTTTCAATGTTTGTGTATATTGTATATTTTCAGTTTGTGTATTATGTATTTGCTCGTTGTATTTTATGTTGTTTATTTGCAATTTGTGTATGTCGTTTATTTGCAGTGTGTGAATGATGTGTATTTGCAGCATATGTATATCGGTGTGGCCTAATTTGAATAACGGAAAGAGTGAAGCATGGTATGCAGTATGGTACGGTATATTGTATTGTTTATTTGGCACTTGTTCATTTTCAGTTCGTGTATTGTGTATTTGCAGTTTCAAAGTTTGTGTATATTGTTTATTTGATGTTTGTGTATATTGTTTATTTGATGTTTGTGTATATAGTGATTTTGCTGGATGTGTGTATTATGTATTTGCTTGTTGTATTTTATGTTGATTATTTACAAATTGTGTATATTGTTTATTTGCAGTGTGTGAATGATGTGCATTTGCAGCATATGTTATGCATATTGGTGTGGCCTAATTTGAATAACAAATCTAGGAAAAGAATGAAGCATGTTATGACCCCCAAGACAAATTTGCAAAATAACATTCGTAATAACAATTAACCAGGAGAAATATATTTTGCATTTAAATTATAGTCTTTCACCGACAGTGCACACAGAAAATACTGGCCATGATCCCTCAAGGTTTTACTATAAATGTAATCTTTTAGCCTATGCAGAATATGCTCATTATCAATTTTTTTTTTCTGACACAATTCAATAAATATTTACATATTATAAAAGTACACTATATAATTGTGGGATCTGAAAACAAGCTGGAGCTTATAAAAATTCATCTCCAGATCAAACTTAGTCAAGGTATTGATGCAATGAAACTATACACTAAGTTTCATCACTGTCACTTAATTAGAACTAAAGTTATCCCAAAGAATCAACCAATCAACTTGCTTATCTCTGCTTACCCTAAGCAGATAATGTTCAGCTTCGAATTCCATCAAGGTATTCACCTAATAAACACCTACTCCAAGATTGAAAATTATGGCATTAGAATGAGAGTTAATTATTGTGTCCCTAAAAGTGTGACGGACAGACAGACAGACAGACTCATTTTAATACTGATCAAGACCTCGCAAAGATGTACTGTTGCCAGCAATTCATCTCAACCACTAGAATCTAATCTAGAATATACTGATGTAAACAAAGGGGGTAGGGGGACTTCTGCTGTGCTCCGTTCCTCAACTATATAAAGGGAACAGCCACACGACCTGACTATTGTCCTTGATATCACCATTGGTGGAAGTGGACGTTAAACACTAACAGTAGAAGAAGAGTTTGCCACTTACAAATTCCCAGAAACTGGCCCGGCGGAGTGGGGGGGGGCTAGGGGGCTAGGGGGGGCTTTAGCCCCCCCCAATAATTTGGCCGCAAGTACTCTTTTCTCCAGGTTATTGCGGCCCCTGGACCCACGCCTATAAGGACCTAGGATGGAAGCCCCCCCAATAATTTGGCCGCAAGTACTCTTTTCTCCAGGTTATTGGGGCCCCTGGACCCACGCCTATAAGGACCTATGATGGTAGCCCCCCCAATCAAGAATTGCTTCCGCCGACCCTGAGAAAATACTGATCAAATCTTATCTTTACTGACCTGTTTTATTTTTCCTTCTTTTAGGTCTTTTAACTTTCTGACTAAAGACAATATCTCCTGACGCTCCTCCATCTTTCTGCGTATTAGAACTTGTTGTGCTGGTAGTACTTGACATCATTTGTTGAGATATTACACTATGTGTTGAACTGGTATAGACTGATGTGGGTGAATCATCTTTATTATAATAAATACCGGTAGTGGCAACAGGTGCTTGGTGATTTAAAGTGCTACCATTGACCTGTTTTTCAGGAGATGGAGAATTACTAGAACTAGGAGACACGCCTTCGAACACTTCCAAACCTGTAAGTTCCGGTGTTTTTAATTTAATGACGGGAGGTAAGTCTGGAGACGAATCTGGAGTAACGTAAAAATCATTTCCGTCTATTAACGATTTCACAGATGTTTCATTAGAAATATTTCGAGTTCCAGGTTTGAAGTCCAAGTTTTTTAATTTTCCGATCACATTTTTCTGGAAGAATCCCTTAGCCGATTGTCCTTTATTTTTCAATTCTTCGTTTATTCTGGTTAAATTAGACGTAGTTTTATTTTCCTCGACTGGGGACGAATCAAATTTTGGTTGGACTCCTATCTTCACTTGATCTGTGATAAAATTGATATAAAACTTTTATAATGTGAATTTAATGATATCCTTGCAGTTGATGGTGGACGATAAAATATGGTATAATATTAGTTTCATTTTGGTATTTACATACAAAAGAGCACATAGAATGCTCTCAAACTAGCTTAATTAGGTTAACATTAAAAGTCAAATATTTGTATAAATATACATTAGTATACAATACTAGAACTTGGTATATTACACCACAAATGTTTTAACCAGATTTCAAAAGTTATTTTCAAGCAAAAATTGAAAGTACCAGTAACCTGAAATGTGCTTGAAAACGACATGTGAAATCTGGTTAAAACGTTTCACTGTAAGTCAATTGTTAAATTTCTGTCACAGATTGGATCATAAAATGTATACTAATATGAATGGCAAATATTTCAGTTCCAAATTCTAATATTTACAAAATAAAACAAAGAAAGAGTTTAAGTTTAATATTCAACAGCTCAAAATATTTCAAGTGTGATTGCCAAAGTCTATAGCGCTGTATCATAAGGTCTGTCATTGAGTCAACTGGCGTGGTTTCGATTCCCGGGTTGTACGTGACAAGGGAGTAGGTTGCCTGTCCAGCCTTGTGGGTTTTTTCCGGGTCCTACGCGCAAGACAAATTATTGAAATAAAATTGAACCATGTGTTAGTCTGGAAATGACCTAGTCTGTGTCGAGTGGAGGTTTAAACCTCTCTCTCTCTCTCTCTCTAGATCATGACTTGAAATAATCTCAGTGCCAGTGCATGTATTATTTAACATAAACAACAAAGTCAATGACTAATATTAATAATGTTGACCTATATTTTCTACTAACATAGTAGTATTTAGTATACAATGTACATAGAGAAAATCAATATTCTATGAATACATTTAAACATTTAGTTATCAAAGGCTAACAGCTGTCTTTTTTATTCCATTAATTATAAAGTATTTTTCTTAATATACATTTCTAAAATCTAAATTTTGTATCATTAATTTGTTTATTAGAATTTAGGAAATAAAGATCATGGAATACAATACAATACATTTGTACCAGTAAGGGTCTCGATTTGCAATCCCATCTCTAGAAATGGCAATCACCAATGAAAACTAGCTAATTTGAGACTATGGTAATTATTTATTTTTCAATATTTGATTTGTATACAGCACTAAAAACCTTGTGCAAACCAAAGATTATTTGTCATGTGCATGATATGGGTGGACAGAGAGAGAGAGAGAGAGAGAGAGAGGGGGGTTGACCTCCACTCCTCCACAAACTGGGTCATTTCAGGACTAACATATGGTTCAATGTTATTTCAATAATTCTCTTACGCGTAGAGGTCTTTAGCAGTGGGAGGAAACTGGAAGACCAAGAGAAACCCACATGGTTGGACAGGTGACCCTACTCCTTGTCACGTACAACTGGAGAATCGAAACCACATGGGTGAAGAGAAATAGGCAACTGTTTTGCTGGACTGATTTTCTATAAAAAATGATGTTGTCGATGACTAATAATCTTTGGTGTGCTATATTATATCTAACGAATGGATGGATAAAAAAACTCTTTGCATTTCTACTTTCAATTTTGGTTTTAATATTTAAGTAAAACTTACGTTTAACTTCTTCTGGTTTTAAGGCTATTCTCACCAAATTTATTTCGGTATTTTTTCTCAGGACAAAGATTTCATCATTATTAATAGCTAAATCCACTATGGTCCCAATTCTACTCTGAACACACAAAACCTGACTATTGGTGGCTTCAATAATAAATAAATTACCACCATGCCATGTAACTAGTTCGTCTTCTCTGTAGATATATAACTTGCCAAATTGCGGCTCCTCTTTTTGAGGCGTAACAGTTTCTGGTTTTATTAATGGTATGACAGGAATGGCGTCAGACAATACCTCCTTAAAGATAAAAGTGTTTTCAACCGTGCCGTTAATACTGGCTCGCCACAAACGACATCCTGGTCTTGTGGCGAATAATTTAGCATCACTCGGTTTACACATTTCAGGAATAAAACAGGCTCCAAAAACACCACTGCGGAAATACAAAATAAATTCAATATTTTCTATCAATATCATATATAATACATATAGCATATTTTCTAGCTAGCATTAAAAAAGTTAGACAAATATTGGAATTTTACATTTGTTGATTAACAAAATTATTACACAGAAATGAAATCCAGTTTAACATTTTTCATTTGTGCACCAACAGTGCTAACTGAGACACAGAGAGAGAGAGAGAGAAATGGGGTTTAACATCCACTCTACACAAACTAGGTCAATTCGGGACTAACTTATGGTTAAATATATTTCAATAATTTGCTTGTGCATAGGGGTTTTAGCAGTGGGAGGAAACTGGACAACCGAAGAAAACCCACGAGGTTGGACAGGCGACCCTACTCCTTGTCACGTACAACCGGGGAATTGAAACCACGCCAGTTGACTCAATGACAGACCTTATGATACAGCACGCACATGCTAACCATTTGGCCATCCAACCCCCCACTAACTGAAACAGACAAATGCCATACACTCAAGCAAATTTTTCATCATATATTATAAAGCATTACAAAAGTCCGGCAAACGTCGAAATTCTACAAGATTTGTGAATTATTAAATAATATTATTGCACAGAAATGAAATCGTGTTTAACGTCTTTTTTTTCTGCACCGTTAGGCCATTTTTGGGTTGAATTCATTGTGAATTCCAACTGCCCAGGGGTTGTCAAATATTTATAGGATAAATCAATGTAAGTGAATTGCTGCAAATAAATTGATGCAAGGGTGATAAATCACTGCCAATAAAGTGCACTAATACCTGGTGATAAAATTTTTAGTTTGGGTCAATGTGTAAGTCAGATAGCAACTTATTTCTATGTTTGTTATTGATAATAAAAACCGCAGGCTCCATCTTCACGTTTTTATTTTGAATAAGAATCTGAAAAGCTGTTGCTATCTACTACTTATACACGGTACTTACTAGTGCTGCCACGATATATTGTTGAATCGATGTATCGCAATCCACCTTCTCACAATACCTGTATTAAATCGCAAGACACTGAATCGATGTATGATTCTTTTTTTATGTCGCTTCAGTAAGTAACTTGTCACTCTTAATTATCCACGTCACATATTATCCACAGGTACATAAACACTCTTAAATTGTTCTGGTCCTTAATTTGATCCACATCAATATTGTTATATAAAACAAGTTTTATTTCTTCAACATCGGCAGGACTAAAAATATCAATTATTCTTTTATCCTGATGGTTGTGAATCGTGATACGAATCTTATCGTGGCACCTAAATCGCAATACGTATTGTATCGTTTCAGCAGTGGCAATACCCTACACTAGTACTTACACTTTTCTTTCTTGATGTCCAATTTGAATAACTCTGGAATCTTCATCTGTTCTACATACAATTGTTCTATATTTAGTTGTAACTAGTAAAGCTTTATGATCGTATGACATCTGTATTATTTCAGCGTCTGCTACATCCTCATCCAGTAACACTTTTGAAGTAGACTGACCCTAATAAATGAAATGAAATGGGGTTAACCATCCTACTGTTCTGCACCGACTTGGATAATGAAAACAGGCATACGCTACACAGTGTGCTATAAGGGAAATTTTGCCTGGATAGTTACAGCCTATTTTTATTTTGATTTCCAATTGTTAAAGGTTTTTTTACGTGCACGCCAATGTAATACGATGGAAATTTTGCGCAAACAGTGGAGCTACGGTCTACTCAGATATATCAAATTGTAACTGCCAAGGGTTCATTTACTGCACCTTGTTTTTTTTCAACCCTTTGGAACAACTACATGCTGTTCCTTACCAATAAAAACTGGTCATGTGGCCCTTTTGAAGTGACGCATGATTATCTGAGAAATGAAATGAAATGGGGTTTAACGTCCTACTGTTCTGCTCCAAACTGGGATAATGAAGACGGGCATACGCCATACAGTGTGCTATGAGGGAAATTTTGCCTACTCTTATATCAATTCCAACTGTCAAGGGATCTTTTACATGCATGCCAATGTGTACACGGGACCTCGGTTTTTCGTCCCATCCAAACGACTAGACAGCTTCCCTCGTCAAGCCCTCCTTCCTGCATCACTGACAAGGGGGAACCAAGCCAGAAAATCTTGATTATCTAAGAGCCAGAATATGTTTTTTGATATGGCCTAATACAAAGATCCCAGCCTATTTTACTTACTTCATAGAAATCAACACCAGTAACAACCACTCTTCCATTTTTGTCACCTGAGAATAATTTCATACCGTTTGTACTCCACTCTATGCTAGTTACATATGTTCGGTGCAGATCCTTGACATCAAGTTTCTGTAACTATTACAATTTAAATAAGAAGAAAATAAATCTAAGATTAGAATAAAAAAGTTGAAGGGTTTGACAAAGTAAGACCCAAGGACCTTAATCACCAATAAGTTAAGAATACATATGCAGGTCCTCGACATCAAGTTGCTGGAATTATTATAATTCAAATAAATTTAGGATTATAATAAAAATTGAAAGGTTTGACGTGGCACTTGGCTTGGAACATTACATTTTTAAGTTAGTAAATAAGAGACCCAAGGACCTTAATCACCAGTTAAGAATATGTGTGCATTGAAGATTTTGCTCAATAATCATTTTCAGAAATACCATGTTAAAATTGTTGGCATTCAGACTTTAGAGACACATTAATAGGATTGACAACCACCTAGTCATGTGAAAAGCGGTAGTACATACCCCAACCATGGGAAATGTGACAATGCAAATGTTTTGGGGTGGGGGTGGGGGGGAGAATGTGAGAGTTACAAAATTTGTCAAGGGAACCATGAGTACAAAATGTTTGAGAATAATTGGCATAGACAAAAAATCCTATTAAAATTTGACCCCTGAAATATCAAACCAAAGAAGCCTAAAAGTCATACCGTTTTATTCTGTCCTAAAGCTATGGAACTGGAAGGTAGTAAAAATATTCTGACAGTTCCAGTTGTTGTTCCTACAGCCAGTTGATAATCTAACCCATGATGTAGCTTTACGCACATAACAACATCGTTAGATGACTGAAATAATCAAATCAATAATTAAGCATGTATTAATGACTGAAATAATCAAATTAATCAAGCATGGAGAGAAAGAAATAGAGTTTCATGTCCACTCGAAATAAACTAGGTCATTTCGAGACTAACATATGTTTCAATTTTATTTCAATATTTTGTTTGTGCACCAGGGTCTTTAGCGGTGGGAAGAAACCAGGGTCCCCAGAGAAAACCCACGAGGTTGGACAGGCAACCCTACTCCTTGTCACGTACAAGCTGGGAATTGAAATCAAGCATGGACATCATTAGAATTAGATGACTGAAATAATTAAATAAATCAAGCATGGACATCATTAGATGACTGAAATAATTAAATAAATCAAGCATGGACATCATTAGATGACTGAAATAATTAAATAAATCAAACATGGACAACATAAGATGACTGAAATAATTAAATAAATCAAGCATGGACATCATTAGATGACTGAAATAATTAAATAAATCAAACATGGACAACATTAGATGAATGGAATAATTAAATAAATCAAACATGGACAACATTAGATGACTGAAATAATTAAATAAATCAAGCATGGACAACATTAGATGACTGAAATAATTAAATAAATCAAACATGGACAACATTAGATGAATGGAATAATTAAATAAATCAATAATGGACAACATTAGATGACTGAAATAATTAAATAAATCAAGCATGGACATATGATGACTTAAAAAATACAACAAATAAACAGGCATTTTTAGAAATTCTTTGTAATCGCAGGATTTTTTACGCATAATAAACCATGGCAAGAAATTGTTAGTATTTCAATAAGTTTAGTGTAAAATATGCCTTCGAACCCCTAAATTTTTTCTTCACAACTGTGTTGCTTGATATCTGGCTTCCCAGAATTAGTGTAAAATAAGACTTTGAATGACTTACTTCAGTTTTAAGTCTTTCCATCGTTGTTTTATCTCTGTTATAGAGAAACACTAGGCCTATATTCGTACCTAGTACAATATACTGATCTGACACATCAACGCATGTCAAAACAAGCTCACACTGCATCAACAAACCACGCTGAGCCTTCCGTGGTATCTGAGACATCAAGGCCCATAGCTGTTCATATTCTTGTGGTATTGAATTTGTCCTGGCTGTAGTCTTCGTTACATCTTTAGTTAAGTTTGCTGGGCTAGGTGAACTGCTTGCAGCTCTTGAAACTGTGGTTAAGGGTGGGACGTTTGGATCAACTTTCTCATCCATTTTTGTCAATCAATCTGAAATAAAAATTATACAGACTGTAATCAAATTTAGCTTTCAAATTTCATGTATATTTCTAAAAAGACAAAATCAAATCATTTTAAAACAAAGCAATAGGCTTCCTTGTTTCATAATATTTTAAATAGATTGGATGGTACATGTAAGTGTAGGTTGTAGGTGAGGGTTAACACAAAGAAATAAGCTTCCTTGTCTCCTAATAGGTTGGATAGTATATAATAATAATAGTTTATTCTCAACTACATGTATAAGCATGAGTATGGAAGTTACAACAAACATTTCACATTGTGATGCATAACAATATCTATCTACATATCTTACAAAATAACATTAATTTTCAAGATGAGTGGTACATATTAATCTAATCGTCAATATTTAATGTTATATATCAATTAACAAAGCTATATTTATATTCTTCTTTTCATAAAGGCATTTAATACAAAACTTTCAACATTTTCTATACACTCTTCATTATTCATTAATATTTTTAAGTTGAATTGAATTAGTTATATGAGATTTGATGTATGGTGACAGATATTGTTGTCTCAAATTATCATAAAATGGACAATACAATAAGAAATGTTTTTCAATTTCTACTAATTGAAGGTTGTAGTTTTTACATAATCTCTCATTACGAAGAATAAAGGGTTTACTTTATCCCCTTTTCAACTTCCAGTTGTCTGTTGGCGAGTGTTCACAAGAAATTGTGAACGGCAGGCAGAGTTGTGGTGTATAAAAACAAATGAATTCAATTTCATAGAATTATTATACTCAAGAATCCCATATCCATACATTGATAAAACACGACAAAATTTGTAAAATAAATATGGATTGCTGAATTTGTCTCAAACTTTACACATAATTCAACTTGATTATAATAATCTTAACATAAAAGTCAAACACATCAAATTAAAATTATCAGTGAAAATCACCAAACTGATAATATAAAATTAAGAAGTACAGTCAATACTAACCACTGTAGCAGTTTTCAAGTACCGGTAAAAGAAAAAATGAAATGGGGTTTAATATCCTACTTTTCTGCACCAACTGGGATAATGAATATGGTTCAAGTAAAAAATCACATGGCCAATTTAGATGAAAAAAAGGGCTTTATCCACTTGACATTAAAATGACAGAGCTTCAAGAGATTAAGTTTTCAACATGATCATGTAGATTTTCAGGCTATGAGTCAGTCATCATATTTCCTGACATGTCACCGTACCAATTTCTGCTCGAATATCATGACAAGGCATTTGACAAAAAATTTGACTATCTGTGTTCAAGGCAGTAGTTTTGGTCAGAAGTTGTCTAGATCAGTGGATCAGTGTTATGCTCGGTTCCCACTATCACGATTTGTGCTACAATTTAAATTGTTGTTTTAATTGTGGAGTAATCGTGGGATCCTATCAGGTCTTGTCATATATTGAGGTCAGTAGTACCAATCATGTTGATCGTATCGAAACATATCCAAACATATCTGCATGTACCAGACATGGTGGACTCAATAGGGACAATCTTATCGTGACGCATCGCACGACAGTTAACGATCCTGGCCCTGTGACATCTTGCGTTGTCATCCTGGAAGATGAAACGACGGCCATGACGTCGTGCGGGAATCTAGCATAAGCAAGTGCTTTTCACATAAACCCTAATAACATTGACCATCTTAATCTCAAAAATCAAAATATGAAACAAATATGAATGAAACCATGTGTATTTTAATAACATCATATCTAGATATTCATGATATTTCACCTTCTCTCTCCAGTAATTGCCTTTGTAACACAGCTATAAATTGTTTAATGTTTAATATGAAACAAATATGAATGAAACCATGTGTATTTTAATAACATCATATCTAGATATTCATGATATTTCACCTTCTCTCTCCAGTAATTGCCTTTGTAACACAGCTATAAATTGTTTAATGTGACTCTGAAATCAGCTACTGCAAATCATCGTCGAAATACCAACAGTTTCATATTAATGAATTTTACTTCAGGCCATATTTTTTTCAGACAATCTTTTTTCCCTAACGGACCGCTCTGTATTTGCAGACCTCTAGTTGTGGACCCAGGTTGATACATATGACTGTATAAAGGTCTGTTATAGAGTAAGGGGTGATGTGCTTTAGATCCCAGATGTGACAAGGGAAAGAGAGAGCCAGCGATTTTGGTTTTAAAATTACCTCCACAAAAACTAGGTCATTTTGGGACTAAAATATAGTACAACAATTGTATTTCAATAATTCGCCTTGTTTGGTACATGAATGAATTGGGGGGGGGGGGGGACTTAAGAGTCAGAAAAAACCTTAGAGGTTAGGGAAGCGACTCTACTCCTTGTCACATACAATACCAGCTTGGGATCGAAACCAGACTACATGACTCAATAATGACAGACCTTATGATCTAAAGGGTCTGTTTTTCTCTGGGTTCTTATTACAATACCTGCCAACGTACTGCACGGCCTGAGCAAGTCATTGGGAATTGCAGGATTTTCAATATTCAGACAACTGGAAATGATTGAGAGGTGTCAAGAAAGGGGTATTGGTGATTGAGAGACTTCTGTCTATAATTTTGGGGAATGGGAAGTAACCATCCGCATGTAGGCCTACTATGTACGGTAGCCTACATCATAGATGATACCGTATGAATGATTGCGGACACTGTTCTGTTCAGTCGAAACTGACAGACGTTGCATGGATGGGGAGACTAGATTTCAGTCAATATAAAGTTCTCATTATTATGGCCATTTCTGTGCCGAATATACAATAAATCAAATATATCATACATTAACAACTGTCCATATGTGTTTTTTAACCTTATCGCTTATCTTTGGATATATCTTCATATGTTCATGTCGTCTACACAACAACTCGTGACATTTCTTTCTCAACTGACATTTGGTGCATTTTGGGACTGTAGGCAATACCTATTTCCTAACTGTAGGGTAGTCAAGCAAATTTTCCTCGCGTTTTTCACGGCATGTTTCATTTTATTGGGGGATTAAATCTACTTCAGAAATGAGCCACTAAAATGATTGTTTGTCTTTGTAAACGAAGAATTGCAAATGCAGTATTTAACTTAAAATGACAGCAATGTCGATACTCATAACACCGATAAAATAATGGACATATCCCATCATGGGATATCCCCAAAATAGGGATTTCCCATTTGTACCGCAGCAGTAGACCTCAAGACTTCAACTCAAGACGACTGTGTGAATTAAGCAATTAAGTTTATTTAAAACTTTTGTGTGTCATAATCATCTTCGTCTATATTATTAGGCCCATGTATAAGTAAGAGAATTAGTGTATTCCTATCTGTAATTTTAAGATTAGTCTTCGACTGGATAAGAGGCAGTCTGACTCTGAGTCTGACTTGTTGAGTCTAGTCTATTCGATCAGCAGGTTTGGGATTATGTCAAATCAAAGTAATGAAATGAAATGGGGTTTAACATCCTACTGTTGTGCTCCAACTGAGCTTATGAAGACAGGCATATGCCATACAGTGTGCTATGAGGGAAATTTTGCCCGAGCATCAGCACTATATGGCCTACTCTTATATCAAATTTCAACTACCAAGGGATCTTTACGTGCACGCCAATGTATACATGGGACCTTGGTTTTTCTTCTCATCCAAACGACTAGACAGCTGCTCTTGTCAGGTCCTATGTCCTGCACCACTGAAAAGGTGAATCCATGTCTAAAAATCCCGATGAACTTACGTTCTGGACGTCCCCATAGTTTATTTAATATGATAAATTATACAAGTAATATTCTCATAAAGATATTAATAAACGGTTATTGGTTTGACTGTTTTTTTTTTAGAACACTGCGGATTATTGATTGTTGATTTGCCGTCAATAGATTAGGTCCCCAACAGATTTCATACATGGGGGAGTAGTTGGTGAGCCAGACATCTTGTGTTAATATTTTTATGTTTTTTATCTTGATTCAATTTTTTTTTATTTTCAGGTTTTAAAGATGTTTTTGTTAACTGTGGGTATAATTATTATTATTTTATATGCTGTGGTACAATTGATCAGGATCATCTTAGCTGACTGTGATTTAAGTCTACAATATGCCCAGTATATGGGAACCTCGACTTATAGTAAGTCAACATGGCTAACTACTGGTATTCTTCTGATATCAAAATGGCATGGCGTTGCTTTTTTTCTATCCTTTAAGGCTATTGAAATGAAATGAAATGGAGTTTAACGTCCTACTGTTCTGCTCCTAACCTGGGCTAATGAAGACGGGCATACGCCATACAGTGTGCTATGAGGGAAATTTTGCCCGGACAGCGGCACTACGGCCTACTCTTATATCGAATTCCAACTGCCAAGGGATCTTTTACGTGCCAGCCAATGTGTACACGGGACCTCGGTTTTTCGTCCCATCCGAACGACTAGACAGCTTTCCTTGTCAGCCCCTCCGTCCTGCATCACTGACAAGGGAGAACCACGCCGGAAAATCTGGATGAACTTTCTCGGCCAATGCAGGGATCGAACACCCGACCTCCAGGCTAGCGAGCTAGCGTCTTACCCACTTAGCCACGTGATCCCCCTTAAGGCTATTGAGCTATGTGTCCACAGGACTGAAAGTATTGGTAACCCCTCAAATAGTGGGTCTGTTGTGGTTGGAAGCGGCCTACTTAATATGGTCTCACAAGTGTCAACTGTCATATTCTCTTTAGAAAGACTAGGTCTCTTTGATCTGGGTCAGAAATAAAATTTTACCAGATTTTATTCTTTGATCTGTTTTTGGGGATGACAATCAGTCTTCGTTCAAAATCTTACATTTGCAGATGTTTAAGTCAATGTTGAGATATAACTGGTTGTGTGGTGTTGTTGTGTTTTCACAAACAACTTCATATTAATCTTTCAAAACACAAATTTAATCATGTAGAACTTGCCCCATCAGATTAACACATTTATTTTAAGCTAAATCAAAGCGATTTAGCTCCTTTAAAGATACATTATGGGAGATTCGATAACGAGTTGACAGTTCTCACTATAATAGTTAAAAACTAGATAATGTAAAGGCAATTTGCTAAAAATTTCAGTCAAATTGATCCATGCTGAACCGAGAATTTAGCGATTGAATTTTCGGGCTAGCCTCGACCATCATTACTTAAGTCCGTACGATAAAAAACATATCCATTTCATGATTAAATCATGAATGAAAGTTGAGCAGCAAATCAGATCCTAATCTAATAAATATCACTGGCTAGCGATGCCATCGAGAGTTGATTATGGTCTGGATAAGTTAATTAATGTCTAATTAATATATAATTTAGATAATATTTCAGGCCTAAAGAAAGACCTGCAATGGGCAGATTTAGCTCTCTTATAATGTATGTTTAAATGCCCGCTTTCAAAGAACTCATGATCTAAATAATTCAAAATATTTAGCGATTTTAGTGTAAGCTGTAAAACTGTTATGATGTATTTGTTGGTGATCATTAATTGAAACAAAACATTAAATCAACCCAATTGAATTTCTTTTTTTAACCTAAATAATAGAGGTACAGCTTCTTTAAGGTTTATACCTTTATAGACGAGGAGAGTGGAGTCAGAAATATCAATATCTGATTACTTCCGATGAAAAAAAATAGTTGGTGAGATGTGCTGAAGTCTGTCACTCCCTTTTTGCCTGTCAATTTATGTTGTCTGCCACCATTTTTTTAACAGTCCTAAACACTCCTATATCCGGACTTGAATATTATTAAATTAATTATTTTTGTGTTTTTCAGCTGCTCTAGCACATAAAGTTGTATGGATAACAGGTGCTTCTAGTGGTATAGGAGAGTATCTGGCCTATGAATTAGCTCAAGCTGGATGTAAACTTGTTTTATCTGCTAGAAGAGAAGATGAATTAAATAGAGTTAAAAAACAGTGTTTAAGTAAGCATTTATTAAATAGAGTTCTAAAAAACTGGCCCGGAGTTCACAATGCATACTTAAGTACAAATCTATGATCAACTTTGAGCAGAAATATTAACTGAGAATTTTTTTTTCTTTGTGAACTCGGGAGCCAAATTTTTAAAGCATGGGTTCCTGGGTGTTTATTTTGGCCTGCACATTAATGAACCTGTGCAGACGTTTGTGTTCACATAAAATAACTTTAGGCAGCTGGAATACAATGAACAGTTAAAGTGGAAATGCCACTTTCCAGGCAAAATTTCCCTCATAACACACTGCATAGTGTATGCCTGGTTTAATGTAGAAAAATAGGATGTTAAACCCTATTTAATGTCACAATAATAATTTTATTTATTTCAGCCAGTGGTCCAATAAAAGAAGAAGACATATTGGTTTTACCATTAGATTTATTAAAGTTTGATTCACATAAAGATGCTGTCGATAAAGTTCTTCAAAATTTCAATAAGGTACTGTATCAACCCTGTTGTTGTGGAGGGTTGGGTTATCTAGGCATGAGGGGTTGGTGGCCGTATGGTATGATGCGTATGGTTTAATTAGACTGCTACGCGCAGTCGAGTGGACATTAACCCTTATCCGTTCAACGTCATTTTAACATATTTCAAAAGACTACTGCCTGATAATTATAAGTGATAGACTCTTGACACCAATAATAAAGTTGAAGGGGATAAGTTGATCTATAATTTGCATGTTGTATCTCGTTTTCTAAATCATTTTCATCAGAAATATCGTCTTCAGAATCAGTGTCATCGATTTAATCCGAGTCGGAATCATTCACAAGCATTTCAACCACTTTGGGAGTCTTTAACCTTCTCGACATTGTTAAAAAATTACATTTTTTGTCAAAAAATGTTTTTCTCCATGACCTGACAAGATAATTTCCTGTCTGACATGCATGCGTAGCCATATCAATTAAATATGAAACTAAATACTCAAATGCCGCTTATAAAAAAGGTTCTTACTGTAGTCGACCACTTAGCTGTATGACATTATGGTGACTATAGTTGACAAAGACCGGTTAAGGGTTAAACCCGATTTCTCTCTCTCTCTCTCTCTCTCTCTCTCTCTCTTCATTTATGCACATTATAGAAATAAATATTAACCATATGTTAGTCCAGAGTGGATGTTAGTCCAGAGTGGATGTTAGTGTCGTGTGGATGTTAAACACAATATCTCCATCTCTCTGTCAAATGTAGTTTGAGGGAACTATGATGATAAAGAACTGGCCATTCTTGCTATAATAGTTCAAAAATAGATAATCAAAGATGAATATATTAAAAATTTCATTCAAATTAAATTATTCTGAATGAAATTATGAAGTGTTGATTGTTTATAATCGTATTGGACAAACAATTATCCATTTTATTGTTAAATTTTTAAATCTTGAGGGTATCCTAATCCATTTAAATCTCTGCCATTCAACGGTCTAGAGAGTTGATTATGGGCCTGTTATGTTAATAGTTTATATAACATTGGAGCCAGAAAAAAGACCTGCAATAGGCAGATTTAGCTTTTACATATCGATCTTTAACTATTGATTAGAAATGATCATATAAATTTAAGAGGAAATGTTTTTCTCGTATTTGCAGATTGATGTTTTGGTGAATAACGCTGGTAGAAGTCAGAGAGCTGCATGGATTGAGACTGACATAGAAGTTGATAGACAGATGTTTGAACTCAATGTACTGGGAACGCTGTCCTTAACTAAAGCTGTATTACCCAAGATGGTTGAACAAAAATCTGGACATATTGTTGTTATCAGCAGTGCAGCAGGAAAACTTGGTAAAAATAATGGAGCGATTTTAGAATTTGCTGCCGTATTTTGTTTAGGCTTTACAGTCTATCCACCACTCACGCTGTCCATATTAACAAACTGAAAATAAAGTGGGATTTAATGTGCTATTTTTCTGCACCAACGAGGCTAATGTGTTCGAGCAGTCGCGATGCAACGTGCTATAAGGGCAGTTTTGCCTAGACAGCTGTGTTTCCGCCTAATCTTCATGGAATTCCTTATTTAAAGAATGGGGCACGTACGATTTTTCTTGCAGGGTTGGATGGCCAAATGTTTAGCGCGTGCACTTTGAATCATAAGGTCTGTCATTGAGTCAACTGGGGAGGTTTCGATTAACCGGTTGGTTATATGTGACAAGGAGTAGGGTCGCCTGCCAACCTCGTGGGTTTTCTCCGGGAGCACCAGTTTCCTCAAACTACTAAAGACCCCTACACGCAAGTGAATAATGAAATAAAATGGAACCATTTGGTAGTCTTGAAATGACCTAGTCAGTGTCAAGTGGACCTCTCTCTCTCTCTCTCTCTCTCTCTCTCTCTCTCTCTCTCTCTCTCTCTCTCAATTTTTCTAAAAGATTGATCTGAGTCCTTGTATTCATTATCCATCTTTCATTAGAAAATTGATAATCTAGTGATAGTTTTTTTAAGATATAAATTTTTATCTGTCCGGCTGTTTTGTAAAAATACTAATCAAAAGCAGCGTCATTTATAATCTGATGGAAATTCTTTGTTTAATATGACTAATATTCTGAATTAACTATTTAATTTTGCAGGTGCTCCAAATTCTGGTTCTTATACAGGGTCTAAACATGCTCTTCATGTAGGTATTACTATTATATCTCTTTTAGGATTATTTTAAAATGTCATATTTTGAATGAAAATTTTCTTTGGAATTGCACGTTTGATTCAACTAATATAACAATACGAAACTATATTAGAGCTCCTCGTAGGTGTTCTATAAACAGCATACCATACCATGCACACGCCATCTTATAGCTTACTACTAAAATGCTGTATATCCATTTGAGATTTTTGGTATATCTGGCTAGTTTTTCGTTCAATATGCCAAATGCAGAATGATGAAATTGTTTTCAAATCGATATTTCATTTAAACTTTGTCAAATAAATGCTGTTTTATATATCTGAATATATAAAATATATACAGAGAGAAACTGGCCAACATCAGACCACAACAAATATAAAATAAAGAGAGTCAGTGAAAACAAACAAATTGATAGTTGTGCTTAAGATACAATGGGTCAGAGGTGGGAGGAAGCTATCCTCCAAAAAGGCTCCAATGGTATAGTAATCCACAGTTGATATTAATAGGGTCTGGTCAAGTCTGGCACACTGGATGATTAAGAGTTGTACATTGCATTCCAGTGATAATCGTGAAATAAGGCAGTACAGTAAGCCTACTCATTTAAAATAAAATCAAACTAGGAATGATAGACTTTGGTTCATGAGAGGTTGGATGGCCGAATGGTTAGCACATGCGGGCTTTATCATAAGGTCTGTCATTGAGTCAACTGGCGTGGTTGTACGTAACAAAGAGTAGGGTCACCTGTCCAGCCGCATGGGTTTTCTCCAGGTCCTCCGGTTTCCTCCCACTGCTAAAGATCCCTACGCGAAAGCAAATTATTGAAATAAAATTGAACCATGTGTTAGTCCCGAAATGACCTAGTTTATGTCGTGTGGACGTTAAACCCCATTTCTCTCTCTCACACACTCACTTTGGTTCATTGAAGTAGACGAAGATACAAGAGTTGTATGGTGTATTTAAAGTTTTGTGTGAACAATTTGGTGCACGATATGTAAAAGGTTGGACACCCCTGGGTTAGGAATTACTGACTATTGATATTAAAATATTGATTATTTCTAGGGTTATTTTGAGAGTTTAAGAATAGAATCGGCGCTGGATAATATTGAGATAACAATGGTTTGTCCTGGTCCAGTTTTCTCCAATATTCTAGCTACGGCTTTTACAGAAGAGAATGGCAAGGTATGTCACCACATTCTTTTTTAGTTCTTGGTTTTTTCGTCCATTTAAGTTATCTCCATCTTCTTTAAACAAGATTTAATTTTGCTAACTTTATCACCACTTTTGTTAAGTATTTTTCCTAAAAAGTTTACTGTTTTTATGTTTTTATAACCCCTTTATCGAGAAGTTACATTTTATTTGATTAAATCTAATACATTTAATGAAACAGATGTAATTTCTCAGTCAACACAGGGATCGAACATGGGACTTCCAGGCTAGCGAGCCAACGTCTTACTCACTGAGACACTGTGGCTCCCTTGTTTGTGGTACTTAAGTAGTCTATAATAATCCTCTGATATATACATGCCCTACTTTTGATCTCGTTGTCTTCAATTGATTCTGAATGTTGTTATTATTTGTCTTTGGGGATGCTCGATTCACAGTCCAGAACGTCCTGAATTGACAGAATTGCAATCGAGTAACGCGGAATTCAGTTCTGTCACAGTTCTGTCAGTCCCGACAAGGGAGGTGGTGTGAGTAGAATCGTGACGTAATTAAAAGGTTTCGGCTGCATGGTTGGTTGAGATATTAACTTATTCACTCAATTGTCACTATTTTTGGGATTGAAGAAATTCAATTCTGGAACGTTCAATCGAGCACACCCTATATGTATTTGACCTTCAAATTTGCTACTACACTTGCTTTAAAAGAGCTAACTTCTTGAAACGTCACCCAAATAAATCAGTAATTGTTCTTCCATAAGTATGTGTAATAGTTTATTACACTATCCAGTTACTAAATTTTTCTAAAAGATTTTTTCTCCTTCAGATGCTGCAAGGTCAGATGCAACAAGGTGAAAAACGTATGTCTACATCTCGATGTGCTGCACTAACAGCAACTGCTATCGCTAATAAACTTGATGAAGTTTGGATATCTCCACAGCCAGTTTTGATTTTCATGTATCTGTTCCAGTATATGCCAACAATAGCCAGAAGGTAGTCTGACATTCTCTGAAATGAAATTAAACGGGGTTTAACACTTGCTTCTTTGCTCCATCTGGGCTAATAAAGACAGAATCTTTTTCTATCTTGATGCCAATAACTGTGGGGCCAGTTTGATCTGGGTGTCACCTGAGAAAGTCCCTTGGGATTTCCCAAACCTGCGGGATGGAATGTCTGGCAAGAAAAACGATGTAGTCCTTCGGATTGGAAGAAAAAAAGATATCCCATCTATACCATTATCACATGATAATTAGAAAAGAAATTAAGAGTGGGCAGTAGCGCAACCATCCAGGCCAAATTACTCATGGCACACTGTATGATGTATACACTTCTTCATTTGTTTAATTGGTGTAGAAAAGTATGACAGCAAATTTCTCATGGCACACTGTATGATGTCTACACTTCTTATTTACCTAATCAGGGGCGGATCTAGGAATTTTGAAAAGGGGGGGCGCTGCAAAATGAAGGCATTGACCGCGGAGACGGGGCACGCCGCTGAGGGGGGGGGGGCCAAGAAAATTATCCGTCATTTCCTTGCACCTGTAGCCAATCCAAGGGCTATTTCCCAGACTGGTGTGTTTGAGTGGATGGTTTGAGTCATTTGGGATCCCTACAACGGGTTGGGAAAGGACATATTTGAGTCTGAGAAAAGGCACTTTCAGCAGTAAAAAAGGGCACTGTCGAAAATTAGGGGGCCCCCATTGAATCCGCCTCTGCTAATTGGTGCAGAAAAGTATGACGGTAAATGCCATTTCATTTCTTTCCATCTACAATTGTTCATATAATTTTATTTTTTGTGTTTAAGTGTTTAACTACCATGACTTAAGAATAAATAGAACTCTACTGATTAGCTTAAAAAATGGCTTCCCGCATACAAACTGTGTGATTTGATGATATATTTGGACTAAAAACATATTCAAGCTAATTTATCTATCAAAAGTTTGCTTCAGATCCCCCTTGAAGCAAACTTTTGATAGAAAAATTAATTTGAATATTAATTTAGTCCAAGTATATCACCATCTTTAATGACATTTATTTTATGTTTTGGTTACAGAATTGGAGTTAAAATGGGTGTTAAAGGAATAAAGAAGTTAAGAGAAGGTCAACAATAAACAACACAATGTCAATTCTGTAAAGGACCTAAACCTTTTTTCTTTGGAATGTTAAAATGTGTCAAAAAGCACATACATATATTAGTATAATGAATGTATATAAACTGATTTACATTCCATTTTTAAAATTGTATTGTAATTCTTTCATCAGTTAAGTGAGAATGCAGTCAAGATTAAATGGCAGTCAACTGCGCCTGGTTAGTCCAGGCTACTTTTAAAAAACATCTGAAAATGTGTTTGAGATTGAGAGAAGAGAGAAATCAGGTCATTTTGGGAGGAAAATGTGGTTCATTTTTTTTTATTTAAATTGTTCGCTTGCATGTATTGGTCTTCAGCTGTGGGAGGATACCGAAGGACTCTGAGAAAACTCATGAGGTTGGATAAGCGACCCTACTCCTTGTCATGTACAAGCAGGGATGCATGCATTCAGCCATGCGGCCACCAAATCACCTCCTGTAGGATTAACTATTCACAACAAAAACACAAGGTTATAATTGGATATAACTACTTTTCTGTCATTTTATAACGACGGTTCATAACACATGCAGGTCATGTTTTTTCATTAATAAAAAAATGAGCAATTGATCAAATGTTTTCAATCTGATGATTGCAATCTGATTAAAATAATTTTTATACTTTCGATGGCCTACACTACATGAATATCTGATTGTATGTAGTGGAAGGTTCGCGTCAGAGGTCATGTGAGTGTCTTTTGACCCTATGACATTAGACATTTGATTAACCAATCACTGTTGATGTGTCTAGTGGGTTACCCACAGTACCATGCACCTCACACCAAAAACTCACCATAACAGACCATTTTATTGGCTAACCCCTAACACCACCCAGAACACATCAACCAGAATGCGGGTTACATAACAACTCTTCCAGATCCTAGTGTAGTAAAGACAAGTAAACCGAAATTTTGAACTATAAAAATGAAACGAAATAGGATCTGTGTTTTAATCAGATTGTAATGATCGTAACCTTCAAGGAAAATTAGTTCATCCATGAGACCTTGAAACTCTTTTTAAAACTGAAATTACATGAATAGCAAAATGGTAAATAAACCTGTAGGTTTGATATTTATGAATGACTGAGCTTTCTGCTTCACTGTTCATTAAGATTCTGTTCATTTCAATATTGTTATATGTTATGATTTTTTAATCATAATTATGAAATAATTATAGTGATTAATTACATGTTTATAATTATCTTTTATGTTATATGGTTTTCGTACTTGTGGGGAATGGGGCGGCACACTTTTATGCATCAAACACTTGGGTTTAATAAATATTTTTATGAATAATGCAGTACTCCTTTAAGATTCTGTTTCTTTCAATATTGTTTTGTTAAAAATAACTTATAATTTTCGATGTTTAAATTTATGATAATGAAATATTTATATTTGTAATCATCAATGATGTTTGCCCTTTTTTTTTTATTGAAATCTATGATAATATTTTTGAATTAAAACAAAATTATGGAGTTTTTTAAAGGCTTTTTTTTTTAAAAAAAACCCTATTAATATGAAGATTAACTTTATCATTTCATTTTATATCAAAGACTAAAAAATAGTCTTTCAAATGATCTCCTTTTATTGTGTCAAGGGAGATCATCTGTGCCTGAATTTGTTTTCCATTTTGGTGTCAGACCACCACTATGTTTCGCTATCACGAATGAAGTTTCTTCTGGAGTGAGAGAGAGAGAGAGTTTAACGTCCTTTCCACACAAACTAGGTAATTTTGGGACAAATATATGGTTCAATTTTCTCGCACTTTTAAATGGGCATCTTTCTTGACTTTTTGGTCTAGATTCTAAGAAGGGGTCTGAAATGATATTTTCGGCAGGCTCTCAAGCGGAGTCGAGGCGTGGCACTATACCACAATGTGCTGTGTACTAGTTTCAGGGGGTAAGATTTTTGGCGAGATATTCTAGTTTAGAAACTATTTTAATAAAGAAGTATTGAAACGTTGTATGGTCAGTACGATGCGAATGTTACAAAGGGAAAATTCGACGTTTACATCAAATTCCCCTACTTCAATACAACGACCCACCGCATTTTTGTGATCGTGGTACTGGAGAATCTAGAAACTAAAGAAAATAATATTAGAGGCTGGCAGGGGTTGTTTCTCGCGGTGTTGTACGCCTTTTATAATACTTTACGTATCTATGGGGTGATCAAGTTAAACAATATACAAGCTCTGCTTAATGTACGTATTGAAGTCGTTAGCAACGGATGCTATACTATTCAAAAAAAGTAGGGGATATTTGATTTTTAAGTGTTATTAAAGTCACCTAATGAAACTGACGAAGAAACAAATGACAAAATGAAATGAAGTTCACATTCATCGATTTATTCCAAATGATCGTTAGACTAAGTAAGGCACAGACTGACCATTATAAGGGTAAAATGATACCCGGGGTAAAACAGCAAAGTTACCACAGCATCACAACCAAGTCAGTAACGGGTAAATCCTCCTCTGTTTGCCAAACAAGCATTGATCCGACGTGGCATACTCCTAATGAGACGTCTAAGGTCATTTTGGTCCAGATTGTCCCATTCCTGTTGCAACGCAGCAGCAAGTTCTTGGACATTGGCAGGACAATGTTGACGTTGACGTAACCTCTGTCCAAGCATGTCCCAGACATGCTCGATGGGGGAGAGGTCGGGACTCAGTGCTGGCCAAGGTAATGTGGTGATGTTCTGTTGTTGGAGGTAACCTGTAACGATCCTGGCCCTGTGACATCTTGCGTTGTCATCCTGGAAGATGAAACGGCGGCCATGACGTCGTGCGAACGACACAACATGGACTGCCAAGATGTTGTCCCGGTAGTACTGGCCTGTAACACGCCCTGCAACAACATGTAAAGCCGTTCTTCCAGAAACAGTGATGCCTCCCCACACCATAACAGAACCACCCCCAAATCGATCATGTCTGATGACGTTAACGTCTTGGAAGCGCTCGTTTCGACGACGCCACACCCTCCTACGTCTGTCCAAAAAATCAACAGTGAACCTTGACTCATCTGAAAACATCACATTGCTCCAGCGTCGATTATCCCAGTGTTGACGATCCCTACACCAACGACGTCTTGCCTGAATGTGATGATCTCTCAAACAAGGGATCACGCGAGGACGTCGGGCGTGAAGGTGACCCCTATGCAGTCGATTCCGAATCGTCTGGCCACTCACTCTCACACCAGTGTCTGTTTGAAGACGAGCGCTGATCTGATTTGCTGTGATGACACGATTTCTCAAGGCCAAGGTACGGATAAATCGATCCTGGGCTTGAGTTGTCGCCCTTGGTCGACCTGAGCGTGGTCTGTCCTGTACAGATTGTGTATCACGGTATCTGGACCATAGCCTGCTTATGACAGACTGAGAAACATTCATCGTCCGCGCCACAACCGCCTGTGTTGTGCCGATCTGTAGCATGCCAAGGGCACGTAACCTTTCATTTTGGGTAAGCCGACGCATATCAAAATTTGTTTTCTGGTCACTAAAACAATTAAACTGATGTTTCCACCCTGGAATCCAATGCCACAATGACTGTAACATTCAAAGTCAGAGTCGTGCAAATCTTGGGTTGGACCCCCATGATGATCCCAAGCATCACCTGCATTCCATGCGGTAGCTATTGGTGCGTTTGGGCGTCACATGTAACTGGAAATGTTTCTTCTGTTAGGTTCTATAGTGACTTTTTTCGTAGTCATTTGCATATTTTAGTATTATGCCCCCAAAATCAAATATCCCCTACTTTTTTTGAATAGTATATATACGTCAGGCTTTATGGGCTATCCAAAGTAAAGGTCTGTTCATGACACCATACCTATCATATTTCTCTATGCTTGTCTCATTTGGCATCCCACTTTACAATGTAGCACATAGTTCTTATTTTCATATACATATCTGTATTTATTGTTGTCACTTTCCCAGTCGTGCAATGCGACAGTAGTACCTGGGGCAGTTCAGCCAAATTTTTACCAAGGAGAGTTGACGTCTTTGTTCTATTCAATGGGGATATGAATATAGATGAATAGGTATTGTTATAATGAACTCTTGTTTATCCTTTGACCTCGTTTGACTTCTGTTACGAGGTTAGCTGGAGGTCACGCATTGATTATTGTGGGAGAGTGGGGTGGGGTTGCCCCTTTATAGACAGCCGCGTCGGGGTTCGTGTTGAGGTCAGGTCGTGCGTGGTCTAGCGTTAAGGGTTAACGTTATGATTGACAGGTGATTGTATGAAGATTTTGTACTAAGCCAATAGTTTTTTATTCTACATATTTGGGGTAGTTAAATTAAGTTTCGAAAAAATCTACGTATAAAAGGGGGTTGCCTACATGATCAAATGTAGAATTGTTTTACGAAGTTGAGCAAGAGGCTAACATCATGGGTTCCGACTTGTATCGAAAGGATATTGGAAATGATTATTTAGTTGTGAAATGTATCTGGCAAGATGTTGTGTGTTATCACATCAGACAGTATGGTTACAGTTTTAAGAGCGACAGATTTCCAACACCCAACGGTATCATGTTTTTCAATCGGCAATGGCAAATGTTGATAAACACCGCACCGGAGATAGATGAGTATTTACAAAAAAACATTGTGAAGAAGTCCGTGCATATTGGTAAGGATGTGTACATAACGGTTGACAATAAATTCCCTGGAGTCAACATTCGTAAATTTTGGTGGTGTGAAGAGGACCGAATGCCAAAACCTACCCGAAAGGGTATTCATTTAAACTTGAATCAATGGGCGGCCCTGAAAGTTAGTTTCAAAGAGCTGTGTGAAAATAATTTTACGGACGAGGAACCACCCCTGGGTGTGGTCGGCTTAGGAGTGGTGGAGACGTGTGTATAGTTTGTGTCAAACATTTTTCCATTGGCTTGACTGCGAGAACCAATGGTGTAGCGAGCTACATATATATATAAATATAAGGTATCTAACTATTAAGTTATCATACGAGACAACATGGCTGCCCCCAAGATATCGGATGTTTCTGTCGGTTTGACAATGAATTAAGAGTCAAAAGATAATACAGACCCCGAAATATTCCTGAAGGCTGGCTATTTAGGACTGAAACGAAAAATGGTTTTCAAGATGACGTTAAAAGAATGGAGTAGGGTTGTTGATCGTTTCAAGCGATATCTAGGTTGTACAAAACCTACAAAATTTGCCATCAACACAGAACTCAGTTGTGAACTAGGGGCAGCGCGTCAAATAGTACTGCAACGGAAAAACGGTAGACAGCTGGTGATGCCTGGAAAAACATTTTCCGACCTGACAGCCGTATCGCATATGAAATGGATGTTAGATTAAAGTGGCCGTTTACTTGTATGATATCAGGGCCGACGCAGTCGGGTAAGAGTCAGCTGGTCAGGCGATTGATTCTAGAACTACCCCAAGTTGTCGATCAAACCGTAGATCGCACTGTGTGGTGTTACGGTGTTTGGCAACCCCTGTACGAAGAATTAGCGGGTGTCGTAGAATTTGTCGAAGGGGTGTCGGTTAGCCTAAATCCCAAGGAAAGAACACTGTTGGTCATCGACGATCTAATGGATGAGACGTCAGGTAAAGTTTCAAAACTCTTTACTAGAGGGAGTCATCACGAAAATGCTTCTGTCATTTATATTGTTCAAAATCTGTTTCATAAAGGAAAACACCACCGGACAATTAGTCTGAATGCCCATTACATGATTATATTTAAGAATCCTCGCGATGTGTCGGCTGTGACACAACTAGCTAAACAGATGTATCCGGGGAAAACTAATTTTGTTCGTGAAAGTTACGAAGATGCGACACGGAAACCCTATTCGTATTTATTTCTCGATTTTAAGAGTACAACTCCAGACCTTTTGAGACAGGGAGTAGTATTTTCCCTCGGGACAACCCTACAGTGTACGTACCAAAGGTATAAAAGCAATTGCTTCTAACCCCTTCCTATACATAGCTGTCCTAAAATAGATAATGCACGGTCTAGAACGTCATGCCGAGCTGTTACAAGCACTCAAGCGTTCCAAACCCCGGCAACGATTACATATTATTAAAAATGCGAGTAAACCCGTCATTAACGCATTGTGTGAGTGTTGCCTTAACATCTTGAAAGGTAGAGTTCGACTCTCGTCATACCACAAGAAACGATTGTCGAAACATAAACGTAGTCTAAGACATTTAGTGGACCGTAAATTAAATTACTTGGGGTGTAATGGAATTTACTAAAAAGATGGCTCTAGTCCCAGAGAGTTTGTTGGAAAATTTGCAAACGCCTAAATCTCAGATATTACAACCACCACCGGTGAGAAAAGTTTCGGAATTAGATGGTGAAATACGCCGCATCCTTGAGGACCCACACTTGAGTGATTCGGAAAAAGCCGAAAAATATGGACAAAGGCTAAGAGAGTTTATATTTCATAAAAATCGCGCCATGGAACCCCCGACGGTATACGTCAAACAACAAGGGTTAAGTACTGATGCACCGCCCAAAAAGC